TCTGCCTCCACTGGGTTTACGCCCATCCCAAAAGGCATTTCCTACCTGAGGATGCCAACCAGCACCTCAGCCACGTTCTTCTCTCCGCAGACCACCTCCAGTGAGAACATGAGGGACTTTGCCACCACGCTGAAGAACAAGTTTCGGTCCAAGCAGTACTTCAGCAAGCACCCACAGAGGGGATACCTGCCTGTGCAGTCCGTGCTGGAGGCTGACTTCTCTGAGACGTGAGTGTGCTGGTGGCTGCGTCACCAAGGAAGGGAGGTGGCATCTCCAGGAATGCTGCTTGGAGGATATGGGATGGAGGAGTGCTGCCCAAGGATGGGTGGAGGTGGATGGCCAAGGATAGAGGGAGCTGGCCAAGGGTTGATGTGGGGGTGCTGCCCAGGGATGGAGGCAGTTTGTTTCAGCACTGGCCCAGCCCTAAGCTATTGCAGGAGGGCAGCCCCTCCAAGCCCTGGCTGTGAGCAAGGACCACGAGTCTTGCTGACTGCTGTGTTCTTTCCTTCCAGACCAGCCTCCTCCCCGATGTTGCCTCACGCTGACACGCACTCTCGGATTGAGCACTTTGCCAGCAGGTACCAGCACTGCTGTGGCACAGAGTGTGGCTGCAGTGGGGTGGGAGTTTGGGGGGCAGATGCTTCCCTGAATGCTGTGTGTCAGCTCTTGGCAGTGGCTTTGCTGCTGGGGACAGAGAGAGGTCTTCCAGGGACTGCTGCAATTAGAGTGCATTCAGCTGACATTCCAGCTGTCTCAAGCCACTTCTATTTCCTCCAGGCTTGCAGAGATGGAAAACCAGAACTGTTCCTTCTTCAGTGACAGCCTGTCCCCTGATGATAGCTTGTAAGTTCTGCCTCCTCTCCATGCTTCTGTGGCTCCATCCCCACCTTCCTAGGGCACCCCCACCTATCCAAGGGTCTTGCAGCCACTTCTAAGCTCCAATGTTCCTCACCACTTTTCCTCCATTTGCTGCAACAGGGATGAGGACCAATACTTGCTGCGTCACTCCAGCCCCATCACGGACCGGGAGCCTGCGGGCAGCCAGCAGGTCCCAGGCAGCCTGCCCATGGATGATAAGGGGGAGCTGGAGCGCATCCTGGCCCACCTGGAGGATGAAAACAGGTTGGGGACACGGGCAGCTCTTCAAGCAGGGGCTTGAGTCTAAGGCGAGGGCTTGGAGAAAGCCAGCTTGGCCCAAAGTGTGGGGTATGGTTTGGAGGATGAGTCCTGAAGCCTTTGGGGAGCACTGAACTCAGTGAGGCCTTGGTGTTCTCCAAGATTCTGTTCCTCAAAAGGTTCCTGCCCTACCTTAGAATGTGTTCCCCCTCTTGAAACCCAAGTACTCCTCTTGAATTGTTTCAAGTGGGCCCTGGCCACAGCTGCCTCTCTCCTCTCTGAGCTCCTGGTGGATGGTGGAGATGCTGCTGGATCACAGCCGAGCACAGCAGGAGGGCTTTGCTTCCCCTGCCTCTGCTCTGAGCCTCTAGGAAGCAGCTGGGTGCCTATTGCCTGCCATCCCAATGAAGTGGAGCTGCAGGCAAAGCCTCCGGGGGGCTCAATCTCTGCATCATCCTCCAGAAAGGAGAGTGGTGGGATTGACCTGGGCTGCCTTGCAGGATCCTCCAGGGAGAGCTGAGGCGTTTGAAGTGGCAGCACGATGAGGCAGTGGAATCCCCAACCTTGGCTACGAGCTCCCCCGAATTGGTGCAGGACCCACGCAACGAGGAGCTCCTGGCAGAGGCACGGATCCTCCGGCAGCACAAGAGCCGCCTGGAGACCCGCATGCAGATCCTTGAGGATCACAACAAGCAACTGGAGTCCCAGCTACACCGGCTGAGGGAGCTGCTGCTGCAGGTACAGAGCAGGGCTCGGGGTGGGCATAAGGTGCGGGATGAGGATGGAATGAGGTTTGTGATGAGCCCTTCTCCCTCCAGCCTCCAGCAGAGTCAAATGGCAATGGTTCAGCAGCATCTTCCTTGGCTTCATCTCCACATCAGTCTGAAGGCGGCCAGGCGAGGGATAAGGAGCACGACACCCCTGACACCGAAGCAGCAGGTGAGGTTTGGAGCTCCCTGGCTGATGGCTGCAAAATGCACGCACCGCTCAGCCCGGCCTTTTCCCTCAGCAGATGAGGTGGAAGCCAAAACACAAGAAGTCAGCGTGTGCCTGGAGGACATCATGGAGAAGCTGCGCAGCGCCTTCCCCAACTCTCGAGGTACTCGGGTGAAATCCCCCTCGCTGGCGTCCTACTGCTCCATCAGATGAGGTTTTTTCCCCTGCGGAGCCCTGCCCCGATCCCACCCTCCCCGCATCGACCGATCCCCCACTGCCACAAGCACAGAGAGGATGAGGAGGAGCCCTCCCACCTGCGAGGACAGCACTCGGAGCCGCACGCTGGGCAGAGGTGTTGGCTCCTTTCTGCCCTATGGGCTCTGTGCTGCGGATGGACAGAGTGACAGCAGCGAGGCTGCAGTGACCGCCTTCAGGAGAGGAACAGCAGCAGTATGAGCTCTCGTGGCTGCGCAAGGATAGCTCTTCCAGCAGGGATGGTTTGGGGTTGGGATGGGGGTGGGGCTGCTTTGTGACCGCCCGCTGAATGCCCATGCATACAGCAAGGAGATGCTGCTTGGTGCCAGCATTAACACACCACAGGGCAGTGCTGCCCCGTCCCACCCCCACCTTCTAACACCTCCTCCCTTCCCATCTCTCTTGCAGGTATGACCTCCCTTATCTAACACCTCCAGAGGCTTTGCCTAACCACTGCCCAGCTGCTTCGCCCCCTCCTCTCCCCATGCTCATGAGCTGCAGGAGATCTCAGGGGAACATCGGGGCTGTGGGGTCACAGCACTGCTCGCAGAGAGGCTCAGAAGGAAGAGCTGCACGGCACACAGAGCTCAGCACCCTGCTCCTCTCTGGTTCTGCCCTTTAGGGTGCTGGGCACCATAACACTCCTGCAGCCACCGAGCAGCCTCCCAGGGGCTGAGCCAACTCTGTAACAGCAGCCGACTGCCGGCCTTGTGGATGGGACTCTGAGAGGTGCTGGGTTTGTGGGGTAGGGACGAGCCCACACCAGAGCTTCAGCCCAACTAGTAGCCTTATCTCGGGAGGATCTTTATAACAGAGCCTTATCATTTAATTTGCATATATTTCTATATATTATATATATATTCTGTACTTAAATACTCTCACGGACTCATGCCATTAAACCCTAACACTGAGTGCAGTTGCACTTCGCTCTCGGTCCAGCCCAACTCCTGCTCCTGCAGGGACCCTTCCCTGTCTTGGTGAGATGATATGGGGGCAGCTTGGGGGGCCAGGCTGGCAGCAGGGCTCTGTCCCACCTGCCGTCCTGGGGAGCATCCTGGGGGCTGCCAGGATGTTGGGCTGTGATGTAGGATCAGGGGCTGCGTTATGTCGAGAAAGCTGCAGAGTCAGGTGCTGTGGGTGCCCCGCAGTGGGAGAGGGTTGGAATGGATAGAAAGGAGCAGCCTTTGGGCATGCCAGGGTGCAGGGAAGGCTGTGTGTTTGTGCATCTCTGCGCGCTGCAGGCTTTGGCTGTGCTGGATGTGCTGTGTTTGAGGAGGGCTGTTGGACCAAGGCAGCATGCTGGGGAGCAGGGAGCTGCGTGCTGTGGGGTTGGCACTTTGGCAAAGGCGTGAAGCAATGGGGGAGGTGTGGGCCTGGTGGGTGGCACACGGTGCCAGCATCCCAATGGTCTGTGGGTCGCTGTCCTGGGGAGAGGATGGAGGTGTTGGGTTGGCCATAGCACAAGGTGAGAGCTGCTTGCAGTGCCCCAGGGGGGGATGCTGACATGGCAACAGGTATATGGCACCCTTGGAGTATGGCTACTGCACAAGATCAGGGCATCCCCATAAAAAGAGAAAGGCAGAATTATGGCAAACTGGCGCAGATCCTCACTGTAGGGAGCTGTGTGCCTGCCCTGTGGGTGCAGGTTTTGGGCTGTGCTGAGGGCAGCAGGGAGGAATGTGGGTGGGCTGACGCTCTGATAACCACGTACTGCTGTCCTGGCTGCTGCTCTCCACCTCTGCTCTGGAAAGAGAATAAATTTGTATTTATACTGAGCCTCCGGTGTGCGTGCCGGCCTCTTCTTTCCATGCTGTTTTCCACTGTACCCCCAGAGCCAGAGCAATGCCTGGTGCTGTGCCATCCTGGAACAGGCCTTCCTGCAGGGCCAAGGACATCCCTCTGCTCAGTGTCACCGCCGGGGCAGAGCAGAAACTGCGAGCAGAGCCGCGGGCAACCTGGCTGCAGCTGCATCCCCTGCCCACCATCTGCATCCATCCTCTTCCAGCAAGTCTGGGGCCATGCAGCAGCTGGGACGCTGGCTGTGCAAGGATGGTACCAGAGAGGAGGAGGTGACAGCAGGGACCCTTGGTGGGGCAGTCCTCTCCCTCTGCCTTTTCAGGCTGCAGCTTCTCTCCCTGGTTTTCTATCCCATGTCCAGTGTCCATAGTGAAGTCCTGGCTGCGGACCAACCCGGGGCTCTGAGACCTCCATCCCAACACACAGCCTTGACCGATGGTGGAAGGCTGATGTGTATGGGTTGATGGTGCCAGGTTGTGGCAGGGGAGTGTTGGGGCAGCTCTCACACCAGAGCTGCAGCCCTGAAAGGAGTTTAAAGTACCTTCCCTCCCACCCCTGTGCTGCAGGCTTCAGTGCATGGCAGGAGCTGGGGGCTGTGATCAAGGATGCCAGGAATGTCCAGGAACAGATCCAGCACACGGTGCCAGGGAAGAGACTTTATTTCTCAGCCAACAGAGCTCAGCAGGACCTGGCTGGAGGCTGAGTGGTGATTTGGGGCAGGGGAGGCAGCAGGAGCTGCCAGGCCCAGTGGAAGAACAGCATTGTTTCTGTGTCACTGCAATGTCCCTAATCTGTGGGAAATGGGATCCTGGCAGCACTGCAGTCCCTCTGCCCCTGCTTTGCCTCCCATGGGCAGCCTTGCACCCTGTCCCCCATTCAGCAGCAACCATCCCCACTCAGGCCTGCCTGTGCCCCATTGCAGGGGCCTCAAGCTCTTTGCTCTCCCTGCACTGTTCCAGGGGTGCCCCCAGTCCTGAGGTTGCACCACCCCTTTCCTCAACTGGTGTGAGGTAGGGGGGCGTTTCTGTTCCCCCATCCAGCTCCTCATCTGCACCCAATGGCCCAGCCTGAAGCACTGCCCCATTGGTTATGTTGGTGGAGGGGAGGTTGTCTGCTTGCTGTCCCCCACAGCTGCCCTTCCCCAGCTCCCCCTGGAATGTCCCCTGGTCCAAATATGCAGGTGCCTGCTCTGCAGCTCTGCCTGACTCCTCCCCAGCCACACTCTTTGCACCAGTTCTGTTAGCCCCACCAGCTTCCTTCCCCAGCATGAGCTCTCCTTTGTCTGATTCCTCACATTGCCCTTCAGCCAGCTTTTCCATCTCTGCTGCTGAGTTCTCCTCTTCTACTTTCTCCTTCTCTTCTTCCTTCTCCACTGTCTCTTCCACCGTCTCTTTCTTCCCTTCTTGTTTCTCCACCACTGCCTCCACTTTTTCTACCCCATCCTCCTCCTCCACATTCCCCACCTCTTCTTCCCCCTCTACTGCCTCCTTCCTTTCCTCCTTCTCCTCCCCCATGTCTTCTTCCCTCTCCACTGTCTCCTCCCTTTCCTCCTCCTCTTCCACTGCCTCTTTCTTCCCTTTTTGTTCCTTCTCCATTGTCTTCTCCTTTTCCTCCTCCTCTGCCTCTTTAACCACTTCTTCTTCCTTCTCCACTATCTCTTTTCCCTCCTCCTCCATCATTACTTTTCCTTCCTCCTCCTCTTCTACCTCCTCCTCATCCCATCCCTCCACCCCTCTCTCTTCCCCACAGCTCTCCAGCTCTGCCTTACAGACACCCAGCTTTACTTCCCCACCCTGTCCCACCCCATTTCCCACCACTTCAGCCTCCCCTCGGGCTGTTCCTCTTCCCCATGCTTCCTTTCCACGTCCATCCCCAGCCATTCCTTGTTCTCCTTCACCAACCCCGACTTCTCCCATTCCCACGCCCTGCTCCCCTCCATGGCACCCAACCTCCTCCTGCTGCTTCCCACCCATGCCAGCCCTCCCCCCCCCGGGGCTGCTGGAAGAGCCCCTGATAACGTTTCCGATCCTCCACATGCTTCTTCCTCATCCTCTCCCCCAGCAGCTTCAGCTCCTTCTTGACGGCGGCCGCCATGGCGGGGTCGAGGTGGGCCACGCGTAGGAAATCCTCCCGCGCCTCTCGCTCGTTCCATACGGCTGCGTGCGCCTTCGCCCGCTTGAAATAGGCCTTGGCATTGTCTGTGGGATGGGGCCAGTGGGGTCATTGGAGCCCCCAGGAACCCAGGTACCAACACGGGTGTGGGGAGGTGGTGTGGATGCTCCTGTGGGTAAGGGGAGCTGGGGACCACGAGGAAGGAGAAACTGGTCATGGGGGTACCTCTGTGGGTAAGGGACTTAAGGAACGTTTGGAGAGCACTGTGGTGGGCTGGGGGGTCAGGGGACGTGGGTGCAGGTGTCATTGCGGATGAGGGAACGTGGCTGAAATGGGACACCATGGGATCCAGAGGACAGGGGCACCGTCGTGGGCACCAGGCATATGTGAGCTGTAGGGCAAGTCCCAGGGGCCACGAGCACACTGTGGGGTACTCAGGGCATATGGGTACCGTTGTGTTTCTGGAGCAGCTCCGTGGTGTGCTCCAGCACCTCGTAGTACTCTCCCAGCTCCAATTGACACTGGCAGTAGTTGAGCACCAGCGGTGTGACCAGGCTCTCCAGCTTCAGCCAGCCTTCTTCCCATGGCTTCTCCTACCCAATGGGGCATCATGGAGGTGCTCATCCCCTTATGGGGGACTAATTGGCCAAGGAAGGGCCAGCAGGGATGGCGGGAGGTGGCCCACCTTGGCCTGGAGGTTCCTCAGGCAGATGACAGCCTCCTGGTACTTCTCGGCTGCGCGCTGGAAGTCCTTTTGGAGGACGAGGCGGTTCCCCTCGCTGTGCAGCACAGGCACAGCCGCCAGCTTCTCCTCCTTGCTCATGGCCCAGGTGTCACGTTTGTAGGCTGAGGGCTCCTCCACCTGTGTGGGCAGTGGGCACTGAGCCCCTTCCCCGTCCGTTCCCCATCACCCTGCCCTCCCCTTACCCGGAACAGCTCCATGATGAAGATGAGGGGCTGAGGTGTCCGCTGCAGTTCATCCAGGTCATTGTAACCCGTGCTGTGGTAGTCAAACATGTTGCCCATGCCGCAGCGGTGCTTCTGCCCTTCCAGGGGGTCCCGGCCCTCCGCGATCCTCCGCATGCCCTTGGAGACCAGGGCGTACATCCCTGTGTGCTGCAAAGAGATGGAGGCCAAGGCAATGCCACACGTCTTCGGGCTGGACAGCCCAATGCGGGATGCAGATGGCACTCATCGTACCCGTGGACCCCTCACTCACGATGGCATCGCACCAGAACTCCGCAACCTCCCCCGTCCTCATGGAGCAGAGCAGTGTCTCCCAGATCTCAATCTTGAACATCTTGCCCACGATGATCTCCATGGGCATGCCGGCCTCCCGGCTGTCATCGATCACCGTCCGCTCAAAGTTGTCCTTCAGTGTCTGGAAGTGGAAAGTGATCTGCCCCCCCAAAAAAGCGTGGTGGTGACAGGGTGGCCTCGTGCTTGGCCTTGGGGCAGGTCTATGGGATAGGAACCCCCCGCCATGGGGCCAAGACATGAGGACAAGCCTGCTGCTGGTGCGATGCAGGTTGGATTGGCAGCTCTCCATCTACAGCGAGGAGACTGTGCCTCCTACCCTCAGCTCAGACAGAAAGCAGCTGGTGGAGCATCGTAATGCCCATCAGTGCCAGATCTGGCTGCTTCCCTTGGGTACCCCTTTTTAAGTCAGCTCCAGGACCTCATGGCATCCACACAGATCTGTCCATTTGATATGGCCTGAGGCTTTTAGAAACCCTATTGGCCCCTCCACTCCCATTTGATGTGTCAGGGAAAGGAGAAGGATTTCCAGCACCCCATCATGGCTGCTGAGCCCCACCATTCCTGGCAGAGCGGCGATGGGCAAGGAGGGAGGTGTCAGAGCTGCTCCCTTCTCTCTTGGGGCTCTGGGATAACAACCAACACGATTTACCTTGCTCCCATCCTGGAACTTCGGCAGCTCCCCTCGGCCTCCGTGCAGGATCTTCTTTCTGACCCCTTCCACATTCAGCAGGTATGTTTCCTCCATGGCTGCCCCCCGGACAGATCCCACACATGCACGCACCCGTGTGCACCCAGGGCCTCCCCAGGCTCAGCGTTCTCCTCGAGGCAGCTCCCTTTCCAGACTACAGGCATGTCATCTCCCAGAGCTGCCACCAGCCTCCTGCTTTCTGTGCTGGCTGCACCCACACTACGGCAGCCCTTTCCCCTTCCTCAGCACGCAGGATAACACTGTCCCAACGTGATGCACTCTGTTGTGTTCTGCCAGCTGCCAAATGGAAATGCCTCTCTAATCCTCTTCCCACCCTGCCAGGTTAATCTGGGATTTGCCTGCCTATTCTGTGAGGAATTAAAGAAACTCCCTAATCAGGAGAACCTCCTTCCTTACGCAGCCTGAGAGTGTGCAGGGTCCCCTTTGCACACAGTTTCCCTTTGACCCAGCTGTGCACAGAGCATTCTGGTGGAAGGAACCCAGCAGTGCCAGGGGAAGCACGAGCCAGGTGGCAAGCTAACAAGAGGCAGTGCTAGCCTGTCCCCTGGGGAATACAGAGGAACAGAACCGGGTTGGAGATGGTCCTTTATTGAGTCTGGTTTGCAGACAAGCATTTCCCAAATTCAGCGACAAGTTCCCACCACATTCGAGACTCAACAAAGTGCACAGAGCTGCACCACATTGACCCAGGGAGAACCAAATCCCTTTTGAATATTTACAGCAACTCCCAAGCATTTGGCTGCTCTCACAGGCCTAATTTTACAGCCAAGCTCAGCACAAGGCACGTAGGAGCAGCACTGGACACAGAACCTCTCGCACTGCCCTAAACTGCAGCAGTGACTGCAGCAAGACTTCAGCATGGGATTGAGCACTTCCAGCTCTGCTTGCTTCCACGTGCCCTGCTGCTCTGGTCAGGTCCATGCCTCACTTCTCCATGAGGGACTCCAGCTGCTCCTGCAGAGATGTCATCTGGGAAGAAGGAGAAAGGTGTCACAGAAACAAAGGGCTGGGCCTCCTTGTGCTGCAGAGTGGCTGCAGACCTTCCACCTGCAGTAGCGGCTGCTTTGCCTGCACACTGCAGGGAAGCATGCCCTCCACTGGGGGAGCTCCCTCACCTGCTGCTTCTCTCGCTCTTCCTGCTGTTTGAACTCATCCAGCACAGCTTGGAGACGGGTCTACGGAGACAAAAACACCAGACCACAATTCTCAAAACACTCTGTGAACAGCTGCTGGTACTTCAAACAGTGCAGTGACTCCCAAACCCTCATCTCCTGCAGTTTCACAGATTGCTTTGCCTCCATGGGAAGATGCAGGAATGTATGGTCACAGCACAATTATTTTTAACCCAGCATGCAAATGCCCCTGGCTTCCACGGTTTTTTCAGGCCACCGCTCAAATCAGTCTATTAAACAAGTGACTTAGAAGAGACCCCGGGGGACCTCTCACCTTGAGGGCTAGGTTCTCTACTTTCATGATGAGATCTTCTTGGCGCTTCCTCCTGTCCTGGGTCTCCTGGAGTTTACTCTTCAGGTTGTCAATCTGTTTCTGGATGCCCATGACTGGAAAAGAGTGAGCAGAGACCTGCAGCACAGGCTGAGCTGCCTGGCACCCCAATGATTCTGCAGCGTTGCCACCTGACTCACCTATCTGGTTGGACCCCTCATTCTCCTGCTGCTGCCCATCGGATTCATTTGGTTTGTCCTGCAGCTGCCTTTCCAAGTCCTCCTCGGTGTCCATGATGTTCAGGTCTTCATCATCGTGATGATCCCGCTCATCTTCATCTTCACTGCTGCTGCTGATGTCGTTGAATATCTCCCGCAGTTCGTCGTGTTCTAAAGAGTGAAGAATGGAAGAGGAAGAACGGAGCTGACAAACAGCCCAGCACCCTGTGCCTGTCATGGGCACCGTCAATACATGGTGTCCATCTCAGCACTGCCCTCCCTCCTTTGGACACTTCCACCCCCATCGGGTTTTACCTCATAAAGACACAGCGGCCCTCCCCACTGTACCTGAGGAGCCATGGCCTTGTTTATGTCCTGACATCCCCGGGGAAGAAATGTCCAGGCTCGTGAGCGAACCATGGTTGTCCACTTCTTTTGTTTCATCTTCAGCAATGACTTCCCAGCCTGACAGTTGGAGCGGATGAGTCAAGGAAAAAATGAATGGGAAAGGTGCAGAAAGCCAAAAACTGCAGCTCATCGCCCACTGCAACAGGCACGGCCTCGCAGTTATGAATACCCACACTGAGCCACCCCAGCCCACCTTTTTGAAGACCTGCCCTCTGCTGTTACTTAAGTTCCTGCTCAGTGCAAGGAAGGTCACCAGGAAGATACAATAAGCTTCGAAAAAGGCAAAAATGAAGTTCACTTCAGTGTCATACTGATTTTACCTCCTAACCTCTGACACCCACAGAGCTGAACTCAGCTCTCTTCACAGCCCCCAGATCATTCATACAGCCTCACCCCCCTTCCCCCACCCAAGCTTCTTTTCCTCCTGAAAGGATACGGACACTGACAGCTTCAGCATCGGTGCTCAGAAGACGCTTCACCTCCTTCTCCACATCAGGAGATTCAATGTACTGCATCAGAGAGGGGAAAGAACAGGCAATCCATCAAACAACTGGTGCAGGGAGCTGTGTGCTGCCCAGCTCCTATCCCCAACCTCCGGACACAGCTCAAGCCTCTCTTCTCTTATTCCTTCCACTTGACCTTCGCTCACGCTCCACCTGAAAAGTGATTTATGCACCTCCAGAACAGTGATCCATATTTTTCAGTGCACATCTCCCTGCTGGGTTGTATGCTCTCACTTTTCTACTACTCTGATGCACCCATCAACAGAACTCCCGAAATAAGGCTTCCTATGTGCATACTGAAAGTGCTCAAAGTGCCATTCACTGATGGATGGTCACCTCAAGCTTCCCATCTCTCTCAAAAGGAGGCTTCATTTGTCACTTTTAAATCAGCCGTGTATCTTAAGGTAGTGACAGCCAATCTCTCTTGAGGGCTATACGACTGCCTGAAATAATTTGTTTCCCAAATGTCATGCAAAATATCACTCCGCTGTGTTCTCAGAAACTGCAAAGCAGAGAGCAGTTCTTCCCAGCCTCATGGTGCTGCATCTCCCCAACACCTTTCCTGGCTTATGCGTTTGTACTGAGGCAGTCTCTGAGCTCCATCTGTTGTCACTCCCCCAGCTGAAGTAACAGCTATTCTATTTGTAGTGCCTGCTTGCTGGGGAAGCAAACGAGCCATGCATAGAGAGAAGATTTCAGCTGGGAAAGCAGGAATGAGTGAAGTCTTACTTCCATGCAACCCTTTCTTCTCTGAGAGCAGGAAGAAATGCACTGTGACAAAGCAGCCACAAGAACAGAGTCCAGCAGTTCTCAGCACAGAGTATTTTCCCACTTCAGGGGCATTTTGGAAACACAGGAGAAACATCCAAGGAAGGCTTTAAGTACACTTGCCTGCTTTCTCCCTCATCTCTGGCAAGGAAACATGTGAAGCAATGCTAAGACACTCTTTAGGACGGACAGATAGTTACAGCTCCAGTGTCTCTGCCTTCTGATTCTCTGGTTATTGCACCTGCACCAGTCAGCACAAGGGAAACAACTCACCTTCTTCTTAGCTGTCTTCCGAAATCGTCTCTTCCGTACATTTTTCAGGGGAAGAGTAACTGCAACAGAGCAGATTGCATGTGTCAGGCAGATGGCCTAAGGAGAGAGCTGGGTCTGGCAAACCTGATCTGCCAAGAGGGAGATGTTCCCTTCAGGAACCCAGACAGCACTAAAAGCAGAGCAGCAGCACAGCCAGCACCCAGCAGAGCTGTGGGGATGTTGGGGCTGTGGGATGGAGAGCGCTGGCAGAGCCTCTACTCACTGCCATGGTTCCAGATGAATTTCTTCTCTCGGTCCTTGTCCTTTTTTTTGTTTGCCTTGGGGTCAGTACTCACAGTCTGCTCTTCCAAAGGAGGGTAGAGATCGCCATCCACGGTGCAAACAAGCATCTGAAACCCCCATATAAACACAAAGGTTGCATATTGCAATGCAAGGACAAAAGGACGTAAAAGCTTTGCTGGAACATGAACAGGGGCTGCCAGAGGGATTCACAGGCACAATCGAAATCCAAACATCAAGGCTGTTTCTGAACTACCAGTATGACAATACAGGAACTGGCCATGTTATACAGGGCATCAATCTATCCGAGTGTACACAGGTTTACTCAGAGTGAGGAGCAAGCAAGGAGCTGCTGAGGCAGGCAAGAACAGCCCATACCTGGCAAATATCTGCTGTCTTATAGAAGGTTTTCTTATCGATGGTTTTTAAGCTCTCAATGATGCAGGGCAGGTCCACCAGCTTGGCTGCCAGCGGCACTCGATCCACACGAACGATCCCATGGCGCCCATCAGCTGTGGAAAGCCACGGGACAGGTTAGTTGGGAAGGTTGGAGAGGAGGAAAAACATTGTCCCAGAAGCAGCAGTGAGGCACTGGCACAGGCTGCCTCTCACTCACCGTGCAGCTCAATGGTGAGTCTGTCTTTCAGGTTGACGCTCCCGGACTGAACTGCTCTCCTCACAGTGGAGGCATATTCCTGAAATGATCGGGCAGGGTTATGCTGGGACTTGGGGGGTTGCTGCCCTTAAAGCCACTGAAGGATTGTGTCCAGTCTAGGTTAGATATTAGGAGGAAGTTTTTCACCCACAGGGTGGTGAGGCACTGGAACAGGTTGCCCAAGGAGGCTGTGGATGCCCCATCCCTGCAGGCATTCAAGGCCAGGCTGGAGGTGGCTCTGGGCAGCCTGGGCTGCTGGTTGGTGACCTGCACACAGCAGGGGGTTGGAACTGGATGAGCACTGTGCTCCTTTGCAACCCAGGCCATTCTGTGAGTCTATGATACCCAGCTTTAAACAACACTGCCAACCCAAGGCAGAAAAACAATTCTAAAAGCCAGCCTACAATCTGCAGGGAAAGCTGTACCCTCCTCCAAGAATCATGCATTAATCTCACAGGCCCACTACTCCTTGTGTGCCTCTTCCCCTCAAGAAAAATGAAGCTGGGACAGCACTGTGAGGCCCTGACAGCGAAATCCTGCACAGCAGCTGGGGGTACAGCTGCTCTTAGCATCCTCATGTGGTCTCATGATCCACAGCCTCACGTTAAGCACATGCAAAATAGCGTTAAGCATGCTGACAGCAATAACCACTAACGACTTATCATTTGGTAATCATAGGATGGCTTGCATTGGAAGGGACCTCAAAACCCACCCAGTTGCAACCCACTGCCATGGGCTGGCTGCCCCCAAGCAGCTCAAGGCATCCAGGGCACCTCCAGGAATGGGGCACCCACAGCTCCATGCAGCAATGCAGGGCCTCACCACCCTCTGAGCAAAGGATTTCCTCCTGACATCCAACCAAAATCTCCCCTCTTTCAGTTTTACACCATTCCCCTTTGTCCTATCACTATGCGGAGTCAATTCTCCTCCTGTTTGTGAGCTCCCCCAACTGCAGGGAGGTCTCCCCAGAGCCCCTTCCTCCCCAGGCCGAGCACCCCCAGCTCTCAGCCTGTCCTATAGCAGAGCTGCTCCAACCTGTGAGCACCTCGCTCCCATCTCCGGACCCTTCCTGCTCTGGGAGCCCCGGGTCCGCTCACAGCACTCCATACAGCGCTTTACAAGGGCAGAGTAGAGGGTAACAACCCTCCCCTCCGTCTGCCAGCCCTCTTTAGGACGCAGCCCAGCACGCAATCGGCAGGCACACACTGCTGCCTCGCAGGGCTCTCTCCCAGCCCCGTTATCCCCTCTTTCACCCCGTTCAGCCCCACGGAGCCCCGCGCTCTGCTCTGCAGCAGTAGGGCTGTTGGGACGGAGCGGACAGCGGCGCTCACCGGCGGCAGCCGCAGCACGAATTGGCTCTCCAGCTCATGCGGAGCGTCGTCCTTGCTCTTACTCATCCTTTTTGCCTCTCGCCTTAAAGGAAACAACAAGATGGAGCCGAGAACTCCACGGCTGGAAGCGAATCCATAAAAGCGCCGGGCCCGGCCTGGCTCCCGACGCAACCCTCAGCTCCGGCCGCCGCTCCGCGCAACGCCGGGCGGGGCGATGCCGGGGCGGAGCGCCGTGTGCCGTCCGGGCTGCTCGCAGCCCCGCACCGCCCGTTCCGTGCTGGGGGAAAGCCATCGCGGCGGACCGGAGGCACCATGGGGCCGGCGGGAGGTCGGCACGGCTTTTACGTGGGGCTGGGGTTGGCTTTGGCTTCCAGCGTCTTCATCGGGGGCAGCTTTATCCTGAAGAAGAAGGGGCTGCTCCGCCTGTGCGGCCGCGGTCGTCCCAGGGCAGGTACGGCCCGAGCCGACTCCGAGCGGGGCTCCGCCTGCGGCTGCGCGGCGCCTTCATTGCCGCGTCCGTTTCTCCCCGCAGGGCACGGAGGGCACGCGTACCTGCGGGAGTGGCTGTGGTGGGCAGGGCTGCTGTGCAGTGAGTACCGAGAGCTCGGGAAAGGCTGAGCAGCAGGATTGAACCCAGCGCCGACGGGGGGAGGAGGGACGCCGGGAGAGGGGCTGTGCCTCTGCTCTGCCCTCCTGAGGTCCCGCGTTGCATCCAGAACGCAGGAAGGGTCGGGAGGAACCCACGAGGATGCTCGAGGGTTGGAGCAGCTCTGCTGCGGGGAAGGGCTGGGAGCTGGGAGTGCTCGGCCTGTGCTCCGAGGGGATTTCCCTGCAGCCTTCGTGCACGGTGCTGCCCGGAGCCGGGCTGCGCATCCCTCTGGTGCCCGGCTGGCTGAGTGCTGGGCAGCCCTGCCTGCAGCAGGGGATGGGAACTGGCTGACCTTTGAGGTCCCTTTCAGCCCAGCCATCCTAGGATTGCTGAACTGTTTGATTTTTAGCTCCTGAACGTGTGGGGATGTTGATCTAATTATAACTCTAAATTATTTTGAAGCCCTGCTAAAATGGAACGGAGGAACTGGTCTGACTGGGTTGAGTCAGTGCTCCTGACCCTGCCCAAACCCTGCACTCAGGTGATGCTCATCAGCACAGCAGCTAACACTGATCCAGCAGCTCGGCTGCATGCTTGTCAAACGTGACACTTGATTTACCCTGCAAAAAGCCCTAAGAACCTTTCCAGCAGAGATTAACTTAGAAAAAGTAATGAGCCAAAGCTCCTTTCAGCTTTGAGGACATGTAAAGGTGTTTCTCTTGTTATTGCTTAGCTGGATGGCCACGTGTGGCTGGGGATAACCACGTGTCACCAGGAGCCTCCTGTGTCCTAGAGGGAAAAGCTTCGGCTTGTTCTGGCTGGCACTGTCCTCTCCTGGTTGCACACGGGAAATCTTCTGCCTGCACATACATTTGTATTACACTGAACTGCTCTTTACTCTGATGTTCACCTGACAGAGTTTCTCTTGCAGTGGGAATTGGAGAAGCAGCAAATTTTGCTGCCTATGCCTTTGCCCCTGCAACGCTGGTAACTCCGCTGGGTGCTCTGAGTGTCCTCGTTAGGTAAGCAGCCTCAGAACCATCCTTACCTCACCTACCACCCTAAATGGTGAAAGCTGCTCTGCTTTCCTCTGTCTCTTCCCTCAGATGTTCCATTCCTAACTGCTAGGCCTTTCTTGTTTTGTTTGTTGTTGTTGTTTTGATTTGATTTTTCAGTGCGGTTCTGTCTTCCACCTTCCTGAATGAGCAGCTGACTGTTCATGGCAAGATTGGCTGTGTCCTAAGCATCCTGGGCTCCACGGTGATGGTAATCCACGCTCCTCAGGAAGAAGAGGTTTCCAGCCTGGAGTCGATGGCAGAGAAGCTGAAAGATCCAGGTAGCTAAATGAAAGGCATCATGTCAATTTCAGACTTGGAAATAACAGTACTGGGGAGGGAACAGCTTGACTAGACCGATGGGGACTCTCTTTCCCACCACACCCTGCAGCATTTAGCTTTCTGCTGCCCTCCTGCACGGTGCTCCTGTAGGGCTGTGCCCCCCCCTTCTTGGTCAGCATGCCCCCAGCAGCTAGTAATGCCCTAGGTTCTGGGTGTGCCACTGCCCTGCTTGTTGTTCTGTCACTGGGACTACTGTTCTCCATTCTGATAGAGCCTTTAATTATTCTTTCTCCAAGGATTCATTGTGTTTGCTGTGTGCGTCCTGGTGAGCTCCCTCCTGCTCATCTTTGTGGCTGGACCCCGTTACGGACGGAGCAACGTCTTGGTTTATGTTTTGGTCTGCTCTGCCATCGGCTCACTTTCTGTATCGTGTGTCAAAGGCTTGGGGATTGCCCTGAAAGAGCTGTTTGCTGGGAAGCCAGTCCTGAAAGAACCGCTGGGCTGGGTGCTTCTGGTGTGCCTGGTGATCTGCATCAGCGTGCAGATCAACTACCTGAACAAAGCCCTGGATATCTTCAACACATCCGTGGTCACTCCCATTTACTATGTGCTGTTCACCACCTCAGTCATGACATGTTCCGCCATCCTCTTCAAGGAGTGGCAACACATGGTGCTAGACAACATCATTGGCACCATCAGCGGCTTCCTCACCATCGTGTCCGGCATCTTCCTCCTTCACGCCTTCAGGGACGTGCCCTTCAGCCCAGACCTCCTGCCCCTCTTCCTGCAGCAAGGCAGGACAGACCTGCGCACGGCATGGAGGGGCACGGACAGACATCAGTCGTGTCAGCACCAGCCTCTTCTGCCCTCCGAGGACAAAAGCTCTCAGAGCACAGAAGAGGAGGAAGGTGAAAGTGTATGAGGGAGCTTCTGAAGTGCTGTCAGCTCCAGCCAGCGAGCAGCTCCACAAGGTGCAAGGTTGAACGTGCTGCATTGGATGCTGCTAAGTACTTCGGTGTGTGCAGAGCTAGCAGTTGCTTTCTGCCTGCCTTAGGTGTGTGATCAGTGTGACCTCCCACCGTCTGGGAGCTGGCAGGGACTGCATCCTTCCTGTAACATCCTTCATTGTTACAGACACAAGTGCTGAGAACTTCCCTGCTGCCAGGACCCAGTGCCTCTTCAGCTTTCGTGAGGGATTGATCTGCCCTTGCCAGGATCTGCTTGGCTGCACAGAGGCCTGCAGCACTAACACGGTGCTAATAACCCTTACTGAAGACAAGGGCTGAGGAAGCCTCCGAGCATTTTTTTTTAAGAATACTTATTTTGTCACTGTTAATCTTCTAACGTGGTGCTGATATGATGTGGATAGAAGACAAGTGCCTGCCCTTAAGGATGACATACCCAGAGTGGTACTTCAAAAATTCTTCCGTAAACTGCTGGTTCGGCTCACTGTTAGAATTTATTTACAGGTTCACATCCAAGAGAAGAATACAGCCAAGACTGGAGAACTTCAGTGGTGCTGCCCTGTGATGTTCTGGCTCTTACAGAGGGGATCATGCAGCATCTGTTCTGCAGGCTGATGATGCACCTGCATACAGCATTAAAGCCAGCAGTGTTCAGTTACCAGGAAGCTGGAGATGCGTTTGTACCAGGAGCTGGGCCAGCACAGAGGGGCATGAAGGATTGCAGGGGTAGGAGGAATGATGCGGGTGCCTGAGAGAAACTCAGGGCAGAGATGGAAGGGAGAATGGCTCACAGTGGGGACAGGAGGGACCTAACAGTCTTTAGCTATTGAGGTAAGCTTTGGAAAGATGGGCAAATAGCTGTATCCTTGCAGGTTAGTATATGCATAGCTCTATTTAACTCATTCTGAATCACTCCTAGGAAGGCTGCTGGCTACAAGACACCCATTAGATGCTGCACACACCCCATCCAGCCACCCATGGCAAACTGTCACGCACAGAACCACTTTGTGAGGTTTCTCTGTGAGAGCTCCAAGCCACATGTTAGAAACGTGGGTCACTCTGTGCTTCCCACAGCCAGGCTGTCTGCAAACAGCGCTGAAACACTGCGTTTCAGAAGGTGAGTTAATAGGTGCTGGTTGTTTTTCCAGTTAGAAGCTCTGTGTAATTTCCAAGGGGCAAAAGTCCAGAAGACACAGCCGCAGGCTGCCCTCCAGTAATCCCCACAAATAAAGGTGCAGGTAGTTACAAAGCAGCTGGCTGTATTTTTCCTGTAGTTGGGCTCTCTGTAGAAACTACACAAGGAAGCAGGTTCTGTTAACCCTTAAGGGAGGAAGGGGAAAGGCCACAAACGTGAGCTTTGATTCATAGGACCAAATATGTTGAGCAACAAATCAGAATTCACAGCAGGTTGCCTACCCAGAAGACAATTATTCCCCTTCTCTTCTAATTTTGCAAATAAATAAAATCACCGTGAAGGAGAAGGAATTACAAGAATGCCATATTTCCATTTTTCAGTGATCATCTACCTGAACAAAGGAGAATTTCGTGTTAAAAATTTCACCCACTTAATATTTATTACATTGACTGAGAGAAAGCAATGAATGGAGCAAGTCAGTATCGAGAGAGCCGTGCTGCAATTTGAAAGTTTGTCACTTGGCCACATGAATGACTTTGGGGAAGCCTTGAAATGTCTTCCAGCAGTGACACTGCCAGGGATGTTCACCATGCCCAGCAGCTCTCCTCTTTAGGGGTGCCTGTGCTGGGCAGTCCTGCTGCTCTCCTTCTGCACAGCAATGGGGACTGCGCAGTGGGTTGGTTTTGTGCAATGGAGGTGTGTGCAGCACTGTTTTAAGGCAGCAGTGGCATGCTTATTGCTGGGAGCAACCCCACCACCACCACCTCATGCATGACACCTGCAGCCCCTGTGTCCCAGTGTGAAGATGCTTCCTGGTGATTGGGGATGGGCGCAGCACAACACCGCGCTGAAGAGCGGGCGGATCTGTTATGGGCTCTCATCTGGCTGGCTGCAGCTTTCACAAAACCGTCATTTAATTAAACCCTACGCCCTGGAGCTGACCTCGGCTTGTCGGGGCAGCAGAGGGATGGGCGCAGGGTGCAGCAGGGCCGTCCCACCCCCCGTTTTTGGGGCCGCTCAGTCGGACAGGCTCTCCGAGAAGGCCGATTTGGATTTCTGCGTCTGTTCCAGCCGGTTCAGGATGAACTGACTGGTGTCGATGAAACGCTCCACGCAGTTCACGAAGCACGTCTCAGCCCGGCTGTCCAGCTTCGGCCCGGGCTTGTCCATGCACTTCTCCTGTGGAGCAGTGGCTGCATTGGATCCGGGGGTGCAGCACTGCGCCCACTATTCCCCCCTTCAAACTCCCGCTCTTCCACCTCAGCCTCCCCTCCCCGGAACAACCCCTGGAGCTCTCCTCGAATCCCAAACCCCGAGGTAGAGGGCTTTCGCCGTGCCCCCATCCCCCTCCTCCCCACAGGATGAGGCCCGGCCCACCCCACCCCACCGCCTCCTTAGGTTAACCGGAGCCGCTGCGCCCTCCCGCCCTCCCAGCTCTCGCCGTACCCAGCAGAGCTCGGTCATCTGGTGCACCAGCTGCTGGAACCGCTGTTTCTGAGTCTCCACCTCGATGAAGCGCTGGAGCTGCGGATCGGCTCCCCCCAGCCCGCCGCCGGACGGCGCCTCCATGCCGCCGCCGCCACGACCTTCACGTGCCGCGCCGCACTGCGACCGCGCATGCGTACGCCCGCCCCCTTACTTCCGCCCGCCCTCCCCTTACTTCCGCCCGCGCTGCGCATGCTCAGCGTCGGCAGGCCCGGAGCCGTTAGGAGGGGTTTATTGAGGGGTTCTGTGGGGCTCCTCAGCCCGCGCTGTGCGCACAGCGGCTGCCCAGGTGCCGTCCCGTTTCCCCGGCCCGTTAGTTCCAGCCACCGGCACCGGGAAGGGAGGGCGGCTGGGGATGGTCACGGCTCTTCGTCTGTGATGTCCACGATGCTGCCCAGCAGCGCGGTGAAGGTGGGGCGCTCCTCGGCCTTCTGCGGGGCGAGAGGAAGGGCTGTGGGCGCCCGCACCGCGCCGTGCCCTCTGCCGGACCCGCAGCGCGCACGTACCTCGTGCCAGCAGCTGTACATGATGGCGTAGACCCGCTCTGAAGCCTGCTGAGGCCTGTAGAGGCGCAGGCCTTGGATGACGTGCTCTGTGGTCTCGCTGTTGTTAAACCTCTCGTAAGGCATCTTTCCCAGAGAGTAAACCTCCCACATCAGCACGCCTGTGGTGGGAAACGGCGGGGACACGTGGTAGTGTCCATGTGCAGCGGGCTGCTTACTGCTGCTGGGCCTCCTCCTGCCCCCCTGAGTCATTAACCCCGTGCTCTTACCAAACGACCACACGTCGGATTTGCTGCTGAACTTGCTGTACAGGAGAACTTCAGGAGGAGACCACCGAACTGGAAACTTTGACCCCATGGAGCTTGTGTACTCATCATCCAGAACGTATCTGCAGCACATCAACAGATCAGGGCACCTGTCCTCAATTTCACTTCTCACTCATCCATGCAACCAACAAAGCCCGAAAGGAATTTACAGCTTTCAGAGTGATCAGAGTTTGCACTCTGCATGGGTTTCAAAAGGCAAAAATGTCCCTTTGGAGACAAGATTATGTTAGTTGAGACTGGGAATGAGTGAGGGTGACATAGCAAAAATGGCTTGTGAAAAGAAGGCTGCAGCCAGGAGCCTGGAGATGGAGGAAGAAGCAGCAAGAAGACAGTACAACAGGGATAAAGGATGTAGGAAAGGGATGATGGAAGGGTGAAGGAGGTTGAGCCAGACAGATGAAAGACAGGAGAAGGCAGAGGAAAAGCCGAGCTGGAGAACTGTGGGAGAGATAGACAAAAGTGCAGAAGAAACTGACAAAGGCAATAGGAAATCGAGACAGAAAAGTGACACAGATGTATTACCAGACCTGGAAAGGCCAAAATCTGAGACTTTCACAATCCCTTGGTCGTTCACCAAACAGTTGCGAGCAGCCTGTAGATGGAGAGATGGAGGCTGTCATTCCCACCTGCTCCTTTCATCTCCCTGTACCATCTGCAACTTTGCCTCATCCCCATCCATCTAATGCTTTGCCCCATTTTGTCTGACAAGGCAGGACCCTCTAGGCCTCCAATTTATCCATGAAGGGACAATTTCCCTGGTGTGATTTTGCCTTGACAAAGCAGCATGAGGAGGAGATCAGATATGGCACACAGCAGGACCGCATGCTGGCAATGCCAGCCAGAGGCCTGAAAAACCACAGGCTCAGCTTTACATGGGGATTAAAGCTCCATGCCTGAGCTAGTGAATGCTGCTTGTGTTGCCTGACGCAAAGCTCTGCTCTAGCCAAAAATGCATTCCTGTCCCCAGAAAGCTGCCTAGTCCTTCCCTTTCTGTTAACCCACTGCACAGCAGTGACTTCAGACATGCCATAGTGGGCACCCTGTCTATGCTCAGGTGGGCAGGGAAGCTTGCAGGGATAATCTGAGGCTGTAGATTCCTCTCTTCACACCACTGAATTAGCTGGACCCTGTTGAGGACATGCTGTAGCTACAGCTGAGCTGGAGAGGTGTCCTTTGGCTGCATGCCTACCAGGTCTCGGTGCAGAAACTGCTTGGATTCTAGATACTCCATAGCTTCACAGACATCTTTGCACATTTCCAGCAGCTCAGCAGGCTGGAACCGCCGCTGAGTTTCCCTCAGGAAGTTCAGTAGACAGCCGTTGGCCATGTACTCAGTGATGATGAAGATGGGACGCTGCTTTGTGCAGACCCCATAGAGCTGCACCAGCTTCTCATGAGATAGGTTCCTGTGTTGGGGGCAAGAAGGGCATTTCTGAGCATCTGTAGGGACAAGCTGCAAAAGAAGCATTGCTGAATAAGAAGAAGGAGAATTGGGCAGGGAAGAGTGCTCCTGGAATGCTCACTGCCCAAACCAGCAGAAAGAGTACAGGCTCTCGAAGTGCAGATTCATTCTGCAGTGCATGAAGCCTCCCGATGCTGTCCCTCCAAACCATCTGGGAGTGCAGGTATTCTGACAAGATACATGCTGCACTGACCTGGGGGCTGCTCACCACTTACATCATGACTTTGGCTTCATCGATAAACTCATCTTCTGACATGGAGCCCTCCCTGATCATCTTGATGGCAACGTTGTATTGGCCTCTCCATTTCCCATACTTCACCACGCCAAACTGCCCTGTCCCCAGTTCCTTCAGGAAGGTCAGGTCCTTCGGGTCAATCTCCCACGACCCTAGGACAGAGAGTGTGAATATGATGAGTGCCCTTCCTGCAGGGTTCTCCCAGTGATCTGGTCTAGCTGGTCCAAGAAGAGCTCATAAGCACGTGCTGCCTGAAAGAATGTGCTGAAAGACCAGAAGTATGCCTGAAAAACCATCACAGAAAAATCATGAAGTCCAAGACCTTTTCATCCAGGGGATAGAATTGCAAGTCTCTTGGTTGGTATTGTCCCAGAGAGCCAGGGAGTATTAGGAAGGGATTCCAGGGAACAATGTGGGCCCTGCTGTGGGGAAACGACCAGGAGCTCAGCCCCAAGGAGTTCCTGCAGACAGAGCACCCAAGCACCCTTCAGGCCCTGCAGCCAGGGAAAATTAAGGAAGCCTGAGACAGCTTACCATAGCCCAGGCCAGCTGTGGAAGGGGCACTTTTCTGGTGTCGAGACACGGGATACTTCAGTCTGGATATGAGCCCTGAAACACAGAAAGGTGCACTGCCACACCACGATGTTTCAGCAGAGAATACAGGCCTCCTGCCTTCAGCCCAAGAAAAGGAGGACGCTGTGAAGTCAGTAAAACCTGGTGGCCTCACTCTGTCCCTGTACTTTCTTTGAGCCTGTCACAGCTTGTCCTTGCTTGGAACATTCTTGTTCCAGCTTTTCTTGGGCTGCATCCTCCTATCTCCATTCCCTGTTTGAGAGATGCTTTATCATCTGCAAACCCACACTGCTGGATAGGTTAAGAGGGACAGGTTCATATTTTACTTTTGTCCAGAACGGGATCGATTGAAATTGCATCAGTAAAAGAGAACAATGTTTCTTTACAGCCTAGTGAGGGCTGTGGATGGGAGAACAAAGCATTACTGAAAGATATGGGGTGAGGGTAGAGGGGTGTTTGATGGATGGAATTCAGGGGAAGGGATGATCGGGGGGGTGTGAAGTTCCTGGGGATTCAGCCATGCAGAGCAGAGGTGTGTTTTCCAGGCTGTTTTGCTCTGCTAAAGCTGCCACTGGGCTGTGCCAGAGCAGGGAGATGGTGACTGTACTCCACCTGTGTGGAGCCCAGGTGCTTCCAGTTTATGAGGGGCATTAGGTTCAAGGCTGTGGCTGCAAGCTCTGCCTGCACCCGTGAGCACTCACCGGCAGAGTTGTGCTGATGGTACGTGATGAGCTCTGGGATGGTGTTGAACAGGTGCTTTTCTGCCAGGTAATACTGATTCTGAGGGGTGCAGCATACAACGTAATGGCGGATCACCCCTTGGGGGTCTCTGGAGAAACAGTGCATGGGGTCAGCAGCTTGGGAAGGGCAAGCAGAGAGTGAGAGGTGCCTGGAGGGGCCCTCTGAGATAGCAGCAAGCTATTCTTAGATCCACTTACACAGCAGACTTGGCATAAACAGAGACAGTGTATTTCCCTGTCTTGCTGGTAGAGTCTCGGACAATGAAGCCCCCTTCCTTACCCTAAAAAAAAAAGGAGGGGGGGGGAAGATAGGATGAGGTAATTGTGAGGAAGTGAGCACAGCAGGCAAGAGGGACAATCACAGCATGACTGGAGAGGGTGCAGCGAATGAAAGGAGTCCTGCTTGTGGCCCCTGCTTTGGGGCACCTACTGACTTGCTTTCTGGGAGGAGATCACAGTGGAGACAGTTCCTGGGGCTGCTGGGGTAACACAGGCTGCAGGGTTCATTTGTTTGTCCCCCAGGCAGTGCAGGCTAACTATACTGCTGGGCTGCAGTGCTGGGACCATGGGGCTTTCAGCTACCTAAGGAATTTCTGGTCTGGATCCAGCCAGCTCTATTCTCCTTGTCAGCTACAGAAGAAGGGGTAGTCTTGCATCGCTCCTAAATCTACTGGCCCTCAATATCCACTGCATTCAGAAACACATCGTTTCATTGAAGAGAGACTGATTGACCCTGATGGAGATCAGGCCACATACTCCTCCCTCCCTTTCCAGCTGTGAACATCGAAGGAGCTGTGGGTGCTGGCCTGTTCTCTGGTGGCTTAGAGATGAGCCCAGCTTTCCCCTCCCAGCCAGGGCTGGCCCATGCTAGATGTGAGGCGACAGCAGCCTGCAGAAGTCCTGTGTGTAGAAGACCCAGACCTGGCAGTCAGCACTAACCTCCTGCTTCAGCAGTTGCTCTGCTTGGCTCCGAGTGATATTCTTTGAGTACCACCTGGAACAGGGAGGGATATAACCATCAGGGAGACCCCCAGGCCAGCCCTGTTCCCATCCTGGCCTGATCCTGGCCCAGAAGTGGATGTAAAAGGTCTCCAACCGAGCACAACTTGCCAGATCACCACGCTTTCTCCTACTCACTCATAAATCTCCAGGGAATTGCTGGTTTCGGTGACATAGTTGCTGGGGATGTATCCTTCCCTTCTGCAGGAGAAAATAGTTTGAGAGTCTGAGACCAGTGGGGATTCCCCAGTGTCAGGTGGGGGTCCTTGGGGCTGCCCCAGGAGCAGTGCTGGGATAGGACTCAGCTGCAGGGTGAATGCCATGGATAGTGGGAGCTCTTACCCATTCTTGTCACGGGCTTTCCACCAGGGCAGGTGGCTTTCCTCCAGGATGAGGTACTCCTCACCCTTCTGCAGCTGCAGGTCCTGCACATTCATTGGCACGTAGTTGTACAGGGCCACCACCTTCTTCATTTCTCCTGCTGCACTGAGGGCTGGCTCAGGGGGCAGGGGCTTCATCACCATCTTCCTCGTGGCAAGGGAGAACAAGGAATGTGGTGAAGCTGGCAAACATGCTATTTCCTGGGCAAAGACCATCCCCAAGCCTGGCCAGGTTAGCACAGCATTCCATTTCAGCTCCCACATATAATTCCAGCAAGAGACTGACCCAACCCAGTGCTTCTAAATGTCTTCCTTGAACTTTTAGACTTTATCTCATGTCAGGACTACTCTCTCTTCCCAGCTCCCCTGGGGGACTTCTAAGGGGTGAGATCATTTGGTGTTCGCCCAGCTCTTTGGGCTCCATCCCCTGCTTCAAGCCCCTTTGGGCTCTACTTTGACATCCTCCTCCAGAGCCAAGCTCTGGTCTATAAAATCCTGCAGACTTTTCTTTCAACACTTTGGAGCAATCCCACATTCACTGGTCCTTACCGTGTCCTCCTCAGGCGTGGGGGGAAGAGGCTTCTTTGTTTTGCGATGCGACCGCCCAGCTTTTAAACCTTCACAATACAAAAAACAAAGGTGAGAACAGATCTCTAGCTGCTATGGGCAGGTGAGAGGCGATCACCAGGGCTGGCCATAGGCAAGGGGAGGGTGCCCAGTGTCTTACTGCCATTCCTGCTCTCCAAGATCTTGCAGCCCATGGCGTTCTTGGCTGTCTGGGAGCAGCACAGGTACTGGCCATCAATCCAGAAGCAGGGGTGGTACTTCTGCACCAGGTCGCTGTTGTATCGGATCACTGCGGTCAAGGAGGGGAGACGTGTGTGACCCCAAGTGCAGAGGATCAGCCCCAGTAAGTCATTTCACTCCCTGTTCTGCCACTGATACACAGTTACGTGGCCCTTCTGCTTGCGTTTCCTCCAGCTGGTTGCTCTTGCCTCTCTGCCACAGCAACGCTAACCCTGTGCCACCAAGCTGCTAGCTGGAGGAGGGCCAGCCCTTCCCTCTCAGATTTGATCAGAGCTCTTCAGCAGCTCTGCAAAGGGACACGAGCACGTCTGGAGGGCCAGGTCCTGCTGCAACCGCTCCTCCTGCCAGCTGATATGTCCAGCATCCCCCAGGCTGCTGAGGTCCACAACTCACAGATCTTCTGAGCCTTTTTTTTTTTTTCTTTCCAGAAATGCTGGGCCTGGCTTTCCTGCAGGCAGGGCAGAATGCTGCTACCATCCCCTGCCTGCTCAGCAACCTTCCTTGCTGGGAGATTGCTCCCTCTCCAAGCAGGCACCAACCGGCTTCCTGCTGCTCATCCCCAAGCCGTGGGGACACTTGGATGTTCCTAAATGCCACCTCAGCATGATGGCCTGCACTGTCTCCACTGCCTGCAGAGAGCCCTGTCTCTTCAGGAAGCAGGATGTGGGCATCCCAGCAGCAAACAGCCAGCATTTTCTCTCTCTCTTTCCCTGCAGATTCTGCAATGGTTTCCACTGCCACCACACCGTCCTCTTGGAGTGGGGAAGTGGGGCTGGGGCTGGCAGCCAGGCAGAGCAGCAGGGCTCTTGTGAGATAACTGACTTCCTCGTTATCAGCCCGCTCTGCTTCCTCCTCGCTCAGGCAAACTTCCCTGGGTCAATTTGAGCAGCTAATCTAACCCCACCAGCACAAAGCCACAGAAATATACACACACACAGACACACAGGCAGCTCCATCAGATTTTGGCTGACCACAAACAGCCCAGCCTCTCTGTGCAGTGCTGCAGCAAGGCGTTCCCAGCTCGAGGAGAGAGCAGCTCCACAGCAAAGCATCAGCTCAGCAGCATCACACGGGGCTTGGGATGAGCTGGGAGATGGTCCAGGCTCCTAATATGCTTGTTGTCCTCATTTCCTTCCCAATGCAATGGGGGCCCTACCCTCCCCTTGCGTACTGGTGGAGCTCTGTGGCCACATCTGCCATTTCCTCCAGCTCTCAGTGACTTCTGAAGTTGCTTGAACTGCTTTGGAGCAGGTTTGTGGGATGGCAAGATGCCTCAGACGATGCTGTAGGAATCAGCAGGAGGTGAGCGCCCCTCTCCCCAGGCTCGTGGCAGCACAGGGATGGCACAAATGATGCAAGCAGGGGAATAGCCCTTATGATTTCGCTCGTCATGGGAGCACTTTCTGATAGAGCTCTCTTCTGCAGATATGGGATATCGTAACCACGAGGCAGCGAGCCCCCGGAAACCCAGCGCTCTGAGTCACGCCGCACACGCAGCTGGGTGCCCAAAACTCACCGCTCTTCAGCTGATGGATCCAGCGTTTGCGCAGCTCCTCTGTCGGGGAGAAGACATAGAGGGGCCCCTCGTCATACACCACCTGTAGACAATGTGCTCAGCGCAGGGCCGTGGCTCATGGGGGGAAAATAGGAGAGCAGAGGCTTGCAGCCAGCCAGAGCATTCGATGAGGAGCAAAAGCCGTGCCGCTGCGTGCTGGCCCCGTGGTGCTCATGGAACCGTGACAGAGATGTTATAAATAAGCCCCTTCCCCTGAGACTTTCCACTTCCTTCTCTGACTTTCATTGTGCTGGGGGCCGTGTGGGGTGACAGTGAGCAACTGGGTTGGGGGCTGAGAGAGCAAATAGCATCCATCCCTCCAGTACTGGCCAGGACACTGAAAACTGCAGGACAAAGCTCAGAGCCGGCATCCATCTCCTTTTCCAGAGAGCTGCCCGATTCCTCACTGCCCATGAAGGCTCATCAGCCTGCCCCACGCAGCAGCAGGGTGTCCCCAAAATGATGCTGTGCTTGTCCTCAAGTCTCCCTGCTCTTCTCACCCCTGCTGCAATGCCAGCTCCTGCCCTGCAGCCAGATGGAGCAGAAAGGTGAAGTGAGCACGATGAGAACTCACCTGAAAGGGGTAGGGGAACCGCTCAATGATGGAGATCTGCTCCATGTTGTAATCCTCCCCTTTCTTCTGGAAGAGAGAGGGAGAGATGGACACTGACATCCTGCAGCTCAGCTCACAGCCCTTGCCTCTCCTGCCCCGTGCTCTGCGTTGGGCTGGCCGTCAGTACAATTTGTGTGCACAGAGCCCCGTGCCAGACAGCACTGCCCCAGCAACAGCACAGGGAACAGCAGCAGGGATGCTCACCGGGACCTGCCGCTCAGGGGGAGGGTTGTTTTCGGGCACCACCGTCTCCACACAGGTGATCTTCTCAATGTCCACCGAGCCCTTCTTGCTGCCTCGGCGCTGCAAGAGACGAGATTGGTTTGAATGATCCCCAAAGTGGGAACCTGGGGAAACCCTCATCCCCATGCTTTGTGCTGGTGAGAGACCGCCAGCAGCCCCACAGACTCACCCCTCGCTCAAAGTCATACTCGTAGTAGGACAGCTTGCTCTCCGTCAGCAGGAACAGGCGCTTCTTGAAGTTGAGGGGAGATGTTTTCTTCTTCTGCTGCGAGCGCTTCAAGAAGATGCTCTCCAGGATGATGCTGGCCATGTCAGCCACCCCAGCTGCCTCCTCGCCGTGCTCACGGGGTTGCTGTGTGCAGGGTGACACTGACACTGCTCTTGCTCAGCCCAAAACCTGCCTGCAGCCAGACCTCACACACATACAGGGTATTTATGGGGTCACCTCTCCCTGTTGCTTCCTTCTTGAGATGCCATGGTGAGGACCAAGCTGCCAGCCTACAGGCTCCAGCTTCAGCTGGGTGCTGGTGGCTAGATGGGAGGGAGCTGAGGAGGCTGTGACAAATGCCGCCTCGGGGAGGAGCACAGAGGCCAAGCTGTGACACCCAGCACCCTCCCTCCTCCTCTCAGCACCGCTGTGTTTGTGTGGGCTGTTTCCTACCACTGAGCTGCCTGGGCTCTGCCTTGCACAAGGGACAGCTGTGGGGAGGAGGTCCACGAAAAAACAGGGGTCGGTCCTGGCCCTAAATGCCTGCAGTGCTGTGCTGCCAAGAGCAAAGAAGGCTCTAGAGCCATCCTTCCCCCCCTCTGCCCAGGGAGCCTGCAGGAGCGCACAGACAATGCTGAACTCCCTTCCCCATGTGAGCTAGGCTCAAAGCATTTCCTTTAGCCATCACACAGAGGTGCTTAAATCCTTCTGCAGCCCCCATCAGCACAGATCCTGACCCTCCCCAGGAGTGGGTCTGGATGTCTGTAGCACCCTGTGGCTGAAGGTGTGAGCTGCTCCCATGGAGGGCTGTAACCAGCTCCCGGTCCCACTGCTGAGCCGCACAGAGCCACTACTGATCCGTGCCCCTCAGTACCTTCTCTGTGCTTTCTACCCCTTCACTTCAAGTTTGTTCTCTTTTCGCTGGAAAAGTGGGGTCAAGCTCCCTGTTACACAACTGTGCAGCCCACCTGCTCACCACAGGGACCACAAGGGGACCAGAGGTCCCTACATGGCTCTGTCCACTGTGCCTCTCCCACGGCATGCCCAGCAGGGGGGCAGGAACAGGGCGTCCCTCCCATCTTCTCCAATGCCCAGTCCCTCACCACAGAACCTTGTGGCAGCAAACCAGCCCTGTGTGCCTGCAGACAATGGGGCTCCCCCACTCCGGGGCTCCCCCTGTTCTCCCTCTGTGGGCCCCATTGCTTAGGGTTCTTTGGGTGGTTTAAAAATAAAAACAACTTAAAAATAATGGGTTATCTGAAGAACCAGCAGCCTCTGGCTGATCCAGGGATGAGGGCTGAGGGAATCGGGGACAGGGCAGGTGGCTGCAGTGGCCACTGACTGGCCCACAGGCCATCAGACGCAGGGAGCCTTACCTTGTGTTGCAGCAACTGTGTCACCCCCAGCAGCGGTGGGCAGAATGGACAGGTCCTCACTGTGTCCTCTGGCATGGTGACACCAGGGATGAAAGGATGGTGAGTGTCACAGAAGGATGCTCTGACCCATCACAGTGCAGTCTCCCTGTCCCCAGCGCAGCCTCCCCATCTCTGACCCAGCACATTCCTCCCCAGCTGCCCCTCTCTGCCAGGTGTGTAGCAGGGACAAGGAAGGGGTCGATGCGTGCAGAGCCACCAGACCCCATCCCTGTGCTGGTGGCTGCCCGGCAGTACTCACCTCCCCAGTCAGCCATCGCTGCCTCACTGTAACAGCAGAGGTGGCGAGCGGGTGAGCAAAGGCGTCCCCCCTAGATAACGTAACTTCCTGCCACTGTCACACCTCGGACAGAAGTGCATTGACGTGGCCACTGTGCTCAGTGCCACCACAACTACACACTGTTGGGGTGTTGAAGCAGGGAGGGGAGCTGCAGCAGGCAACCCTGCACAATGGCTGGACAGGAGCTGGGATTCAGCGTGCAAAGGCACTGCCAGCACCCCCACCCCCTGCTCCAGTGTCCTCCAGCACTCACAGATCACCCCCACTCCCTGCTCTGTGCAGCCCCAGTGCCACCAGCACCCAGCCAGCACCCTGACAGGTGGTTCCAGCACACTCCTAGCACCCACAAACCACCCTGACCCCCTATTATGGCATAGCCCCACAGCCCCCAGCTCTGATACACCCAGGGCCCTGCGCCCCACGTCCTCGTGGCAGCAGGATGGATGCCGCCAGCTCAGAGTGCATCCAGGCCTCATGGCCCAAATGGTGCTGCTTGTCGTGGCACACCGCAGCTGCCCAGCACCTGGGATACCTCCCCCATCCCCAGCACCGCCCCAGCACTGCTGCCACACGCAGCAGAGGTGTGAGGCCGTGAGCCCTTGTGTTGCCCACGTCACATCACTTTCTGCCACACGTCCCTGGGATGCAGCCCCCACCCTGGGTGCCCCGCACTCACCGAGCCCTTCCGGCTGGCCCAGATGGACAGTGCTGTGCTGTGCTGTGCCTGCTGCCCCACGCCTGCCCCGAGCGGCCCAGCACCGCGAGTCGGGGCGGCTGTGGGGACGCAGCGCAGGGACGGCGCTGGGGTCTGCCTTGCAGGGAGGAAGAACGGGGCCGGCCAACCCCACCCTTTCAGTTCCCCTTTTCTGAGTTTCTGACTCAAAGCAGCAGCTGCGTTTCCTCCTGGAGATGGCCGGGGCCACCTCCACACTGCTACCTTCACAGTGCCACCAGCAGGCCCGGGTGTGGGGACACGGCAGCGGGGACACAGGGCAGGACGAGGGGTTGGGGAGAAGGGCTGGATTGTGAGAACCAGGCCCGAGGCTGTGAGCTGGGCTATGGGGTGGGCAGTGGGTGGTGTGTGTGAAGGACAAGAGGGCTTCTCCTGCACCCCGTGTCCCTGCACCCCCGTGTCCCTCTGTATCCCTACTCAGCCCCGTGTCTCTGTGCACCCATATCCCCTACTCCACCCAGCAGAGCCCACGGCCCACAGCCGCCAAGCTCCTCTCTCCCATCCTCCCCCTCCCCTGCATTCCCCGTCCCTCCCGCCAGAAGGGGGCGCTGCGCTCCCAGCTCGCCTTCCTCTCTATGCTCCTCTCGCGTCTCCTTCCGCTTCCGGGTCGCTCCTTCTCTTCGGCTCACCAGCGGCAAGATGGTGAGCGTTAGCGGTGGCGGATTGCGGGTTCGCCTTTATCCGCTTCCATCCGTCTCCGCGGCGGCTCGTTCCGCCCTCCCGAGGCGCTGAGCGATGCGGGGGGCTGCTTGGCCGGAGGTTGGGCCGGGCCTGGGAGGCGGCCGGGGCCGTAAGCGCGGGGCGATGGCGCGGGGCCTGTCCTGGGCGGGGGGAGAGGGGCGGCGGGACGGCCGGGCCGCGCTCGGCAGCAGCCAGCAGCACCGGGACGGGTTGGCGTTTGTGCGGTTTCTGGCTGTACTGATCGGCTTCTCCCTGATCCTCCAGGTGAACGTCCCGAAAACCCGCCGCACCTACTGCAAGAAGTGCGGCAAGCACCAGCCCCATAAAGTCACCCAGTACAAGAAGGGCAAGGACTCTCTCCATGCCCAAGGTGAGGGCGGAGATGCTGTGGGCGGGGGGGCAGGGCCCAGGGGAAGGCAGTCTGTGCCGAGGGGATGCTTTTAGGCTCAGCACACGGCTGTGGTGGGAGCGGGGATTTTATGTGATCAGTTGTGCGGCTGGAGGTTGAGGTCTGCAGGTGGTTGGTAGGAATGCCAGCTGTGCCTGTGGCATATCTGAACTACTGCCTCAACGTACCCGTTTCTTCCTGCAGGGAAAAGGCGCTACACAAGGAAGCAGAGTGGCTATGGTGGCCAGACGAAGCCTATCTTCCGTAAGAAGGTGAGTGCTGCTCCCAGAAGGAGGGCTTGAAACCTTCCACACATTCTGCTGAAGAGGGACGCTTTTGCCTCCTCAACCGTGGTGTGTTCAGACCATACTGTGGCAGCTCCATGCAGGTGGAGCTGTCTAGGAACATGGTTTCCATCCCAGGCTGCTCCTCGTTCCTCATTAGGTCCCCTCTTTCTTACAGTGGAATGATGCAGCTTGTTTTTGCAGACAAGCTTCTGTGTGGAGCCTGATGCTTTAAGAGAACACAGTTTTAATGGACATAATGCTTTTAATGAAAGGAATTGTTGAAGCAGCAGTAGGAGTGGTGTGTTTTGTAACATGTGCTGCTGTCTGCCTTCCTCCTCAATTTATGGAGTGCCTGGAACTGTAGTCATATAGCATGTTTTCCTTCTGTGCTCCCACCTACCTTCTGCTAAGGGATGGGTGCTGAAATCTGTGCTGTTACAGCAGGGAAGCAAAACCTGACAGCCATTTGCTGGAGCAACTTTCCTCCTGTGCTACTGACCTCTGCAGGAGACCAACCCTGCCCCAGTAAATCCTTTTGCCAGTGTTCTTTAAAAACACCAGTAGGCAAAGGAGCAGACCCACTCTTTACTGGTCTTTAAGATACCTTTTTGTGTTTAATGGAGCAAGTCAGCTGTGTTTAGTCTCTTATTATGCTTTGAGAACAAGCTGATGAATCTTCTAAGGGTAGAGATAAGCAGCTTTTCTGAGAGCAGCAATTGATCTGCTTTTGGACACTTGGTTCGCTCATGCACTGCTCCTCACTTCCCAGGCCAAGACCACAAAGAAGATTGTGCTGAGGCTGGAGTGTGTGGAGCCCAACTGCAGGTCTAAGAGGATGCTGGCAATTAAGAGATGCAAGCACTTTGAACTGGGAGGAGACAAGAAGAGAAAGGTATGTGCGTGTACCAAGACTGGCTGATGATGGAAAAATCATCTGGGTGGGTATGAGCACAGCTGTGGCTTTGGGGAGAGCACTGCCAGCAGCACAGGCTGAGCACTCCCTAAGTGCTGAGTGAGGCTCTGTATCAAGGGGAGGATTTTCAGCAACATGGCAGCAGCCTGCCTGGAGTGGCTGCAGGAGGGACAGACAGCAGGCTGTGTGCTGCCAGGGTTGGGACAGGGCAAGATTCAGTGGTGAATAAACTCACACTCGTCTCTTCCTTCTTATAGGGCCAGGTGATACAGTTCTAAGCTGCATCCTACTCATTTTTGGACCATATTAAAGTATTTGGAAGTGATCTGTTACTTGGTTTTGTGTATTCTGTGCTGCTGGTGGGGTGAGGCTTGCAAGTACACTAACCCAACAGGAAGATGATCCTTGCAAAGGCAGCATTTCTTCAAAACCTCTTGTAAGCTGGGATCTCCCTCCTTGCTCCAAGAGGTGTGTAATAGATGTAGGGTGCAGGTGCATCAGATCCACTTTACTGAGCGTTGCTTCTGGTAATCATGATGATTTTTATAAAGAACAGTGACCTGTTTTCCAAAACTTGATTTAATTTTAGCCACCATGCTAAAATGTACAGGTAGGCCTGCTTAGGAACGCTTCAGTTGGAGTTGTAAACACAAACATTAGGACAAATCAAGGCATCCAAATTGTGCAGTAGCCTGGAAACAAGGGTTAAGTGTCTGTATCCTGCACCAGAAGGACCTTTAAGCTAAAGCAAGCAGTTATTTCTGGAAGGGAGCTCACTAAGGAAGGATTCCCTAGGGGCCCCATGAAGGGTGGTGTGGGGAACTGTCATCTAAAGGGGCAGCCATTGATGAGAGGAAGACTTGTGAGACTTGAAAGCCTCAAAGCTCAGCTCGGAGGCATCACACTTGATGGCTTTAAGCAGATGGCTGCAGAGAAATCAGCTGCTAAGAAGCACTGTGATTTAGACCAGTCCCTGAGCTCAGGAGGAGGTGCCCATTCTGAGGACGGCATTGAGTTTTTTCCAGCAGGAACAGCTTTTCACAGCTGTGAACTAAATGTCCTCAAGTGCTCCAGCCTGCCAAAGCACACAGCACAGCAGCTGGGCTGCACTGCCCTTGTGTGCCGGAAATGCTGAAGAGCCGCAGAACGCTGCATGCACCTCTTGCAGATCTTTGGTCGTGGTGGCAATGAGTTGTTGTTGCCCTGCTGGGGGCCTTGTGACCCCTTGGGAAAGGAGAGTTGGGCGAGATGCCAGAGAAAGGATAACAGGAGAGAAGCAGCACCCCTTTTTCTGCTGCCTCATAGTAATAAGTCACGGGCATTTGTTACAGTAGGCAGAAGGTTCAGCATCCAGAGGCTCTCAAGCAGCGAATGCTCTAGGACAAGAAGTGCAGAGCATGAGGCTTACAGAAAATAATCCCACCTCCTACAGCGGCACTACTTTGAGCAGCACAGTGCCTGTGGGGTTCACTTCTACACTCAGGGAGGAGACCCAGTTGTGAACCCCCCAGTCCCTGCTGGTTGGCAGGATCTGCTGGATGCAGCACGCTGGGTTGCAGGCCAGCCCATTGCCGAGGAAGGAGAGGGAGAAGGTGAAGTTCTGGGGTCCCCCAATTTCCTGCTGGTTTAGGACTGCCACAGCGTAGGCTCTGTCAGACAGGGGCCGTTCCCACAGCTCGAAGTTCTTGTCCTGCCAAGAAGAAAATAAGCCACAGGCTTGCGTTAGGGAAGGCAGAACTGGGTGTCTTTCTGAGGAAGCCTGCAGCCCGTGTTCCAGAGCACAGCCCCAGCCAGGTCCTGCTGTACCTTAGTGATGCGATAGCCCTGCTTGCCCAGCGGATCCTGGTTGATGGCGATCACCTCCTTGTTCTGGAGCAGCCCCTTGGCCTCCGGTTTCATGTGCCGCAGGTCGTTGGACATGAAGAGCGGCGCGGCCATGATCGCCCACATCGCCATCTGAGTCACTGCCTGGTCCCAGCTCAGCCCAAAGTTCCCAATCACCAACTGGGACAGGAAAAGAAAAACGCTTCCTAACGCTGCTTGCCAAGGAGAAACTGGGCCAGCAGGGAAGTGCTGGGAAGCAGCAGGATGCTAAGGGCGGTGCCCTGGTTGGGGACTGGTTGGATGGGCTGAGCTCTAGGAACAACACCAGCTGGCTGCAGATTAGCATGGCAATTCAGCATGAACCAGTGGTGGAAGTAAAGAAGGATCCTTACCTGGCAAAGCAGCATTCAAGAGCCTGCTCCTAGATGCAGCTATTCATTCCTTGCTAGTACCCAGCTTGGCACGGCACCCAAGGTTTTTTTCCCCCCTCTGATAGGAGTTGCACATCAGAGACTTTCTCCGATTCATATCTGTGTTTGTTAGGGACTGGCACTGGTTGTATAGGCTGCAGTACAGCCTATGCAGTGCTTCTCCTTCTGCACCCAACTGCTGTGTGCTCAGAGTGCTGTTCTGCTGATCTTTTCCATTTAGGGATCCCTCTCATCAAGTGCTTAATCCTAGGACTCCATCAGATCCTTTCCCCCAGTGTTTCTCCTCCCAGTCTCTCCCTCCCCACCCATCTCAGGCTACAGCTAAGGAAACAATTTTCTCCTGCTGCTGGAAGGGTGTTGCTCTACTTGCCATGTCAGGGTCATTCCAGCCCCCTGGCCCAGCTATCTTCACAATGCTGTCCTGATGAAGTGCTGTCCACTCCACGATGCTCTTGATGCTGTTCCAAGAATCATAGACATCATAAAAATTCCTCCAGTGATTGCAATACTGTTTGATCTCCGTGTAATTGGGCTGCCAAAACAATGAGTGTGGTTAGCCAGAGAGCCTGACTGTACAAGATGGAGACTGTACACGAGGCATCAGGGATATTGTGGGAGAGAACTTAGCTGACAGTGGATAGTATTCCATCTGAACGATGCTGGCTCCCTAGGATGCCTTGTACCCACCAGCTCCAGTCTGCCACATTCCAGACAGCACCATCCCAATTGTTTCCCTTGGGAGAACAGTTGCAGCCACCTAGCTCTGTTAGAAAATCTCTACACGTGCTGTTTTACCAAAGGTGGGATGGGACCAGTGGGATTAAACTGTGTCATCCTATTACTGTGACAGTAATTACTATTTCAGTAATCACTGCTGTTTCTCGGGTTTACTCCCTTTGGTGACTAATGCATCTATCTCTCTGGGAGGGAATGACCACATCCTGTCCTGGTGCACGGGGGAAGGCAGCTGTGGGTGGAGAGCAACACGGCACTCACAGACCCTGTCCAGCAAAAAACCCACATGTAAACAGCACAGAGCATTCCTGTTATATAGGCTGCCCTAAAACTCTCATTCCTGTCCCTCGAGGTGGCTGTTAGGCTGAGCAGAGCATCCAGGAGGAACAGCAGCAAGCTGCCTGCTAGCTGCATCTGCATCTCCAACATCTTGATGCTCAGCTCCCTGAAGAGGGAAAGCAGATGGATGCTGCTGGTCTTGAGCAAGCTCCAGCTGGGCTGTGCTTCCAGCAGCTTGTGCTGCAGAATCCTGCTACACTCTTTTCAGCAGAGAAGCAACTTGCCTCAGGTGCACCTCAAGGCTGTAGAGGAAAAGTGGTTTTCCTCCGCCTCGCAGTCTTGTTCTCCGTCAGACCGGAGAGCAGCAAATTCCTTGGGAGGCTGCTATGAAGTGCTAATGCCTTTCTGTTCTTCCCACTGTGAGCCCTGAGAAATGCTCCCTACCTGCTGCATGGGCCTCAGGTAGAAAGGCCATTCACAGGAGTACACGATGGGTCTGCCGGTCTTGTTGAGGGCCAGAGACATGTTCCTGTAACCTAAAAGAAGAGAGGTTACCCCATCTCCTTGCTCAAGGAAAGGAACTAAACCAGTGCCACAGGTTCAGATTTCAGCTTGACTCTTAAAAATCAAGGCTGAACATACTCTCATGACTCAAATAATAAAGGGAGGAGAGAGGAGCTCGTAGTGGCAGCCAGTCTCCTGCCTCCAAGGAGAGGTGAGCTGCTACATGGCTTTGCTATTTGTCCCAGGCAAATAGTCTGAGACTGCTGACCTCTACATCACCCACTACCCTGCTTTCAGCTGGGATAGAGGACATGGATGCAACCCTAGGAACAGGCTGCAGCTTTGCTGTGCGGTGTATTTTCCCTCTAGAATCATAGAATCTTTTGAATGGGAAGGAACCCTTAGAGGTCACTGAGACCAACTCCCTGCAACTGAGCAGAGACACCCACAGCTCCATCAGGTGTTCAGAGCCCCGCCCAGCCTGACCTCAAATGTCTCCAAGGACAGAGCACCCACCACCTCTCTGAGCAGCCTAAATACAAGTTGCTATCTTACCGAGCAACTGGGTACAGCACCAGTGGTTAACATTGTGGGAACACGTCCTTATGATGCATTTGTGCCATATGGACTGAGCAGGAATAAAAAAGGCACTAGCTTTGTCCTGTCCTTGTCCTCACACAGCCCTGTTAAGTCCCTTCCAATCAGCAGAGAGGGAAGGGAGCTTTTGCTCTCTCTCCTGGAACTGCTTCAGTACCACTGGGTTGCACCTGGCTTATCCATCTGATCCAGCCAGCTTCCAGCTCAGCTGTCGCCTGCGGTGCTGAGCTGTGCTCCAGGCCCCAACAGCCAGCACACATTGGACCAACTGGAGTGGAGCTGACTGTCACTTGGACAGGTTCTCTCTGCCAAACAGCCAGGAGAGAGTGCAGGATTCCTGCTGCCAAACACCGCGCCAGCAGGGAGAGCCCAGCCAACAGAAAACCAACTTCAGAGCCACATTGTTCTTCCTGCAAATCTGCACCTGGGGCACTGGGGTGTGCAGTGCTTGGAGGGGGTCTGCAGCCAGGAGCTCTGAGCACAGCACTGAGCTCTCTACTGCTGACCCACCAGCCTGTGCATAACTACTTTGGAAACAGCATTCATAAGGGCGCATTTAGAAGTGAAAATCCCAATAGGTTTGTTGTGCCAGAATTCCCTTCTATTTTTTTCCTGCTAACAGCCCTGATAACTGCCCTTCCTACTGCAGATACAAGCTATTCTAGCTCAGAGCTGATCCATTGTGGCACAGCTTCAGCAAAGGGATTCAGTGTCAAGCATGCAAAATGCTTTTGCTCTGCAATGAAAGCACTCCAGAAGTGCAAAGCCTTTGTGGTGCTAAGAGCTGATATGGCAGTCTGCAGACAGCTCCCAGAGAACGCAGACAGTACTTCTGTGCTCAGCACGACACAGTCTCTGGTGGGAGAAAGCTGCTTTCTCAAGCCACGCCTGAAAGCTCCGGGAGTCAGAACAGCCAAAAACCACTTGGGCCAGCAATATGCACTGCCCTAGAGAGAGAGCAGCCTTGCACTTGGGAACACTGCATGTAAGCAAATCCCTCAAAATGTGTACAGTCAGGGAAAAGCATCTCTCTAGAGCCCACCCCCTTGGCTGGGGATTGCTGACACCCGCAGAACAGCCCCAGCTGTGTCCCACCTGCTCGCATACCTTCTGCCAGCAGCCCCAGTGAGTCGGCGTTACAGCCATCAAACTTCAGCAAGTCCACACCCCAGGAGGCAAAGGTCTGTGCGTCCAACTCATAGTACCCATAGCTGCCGGGGAAGCCGGCACACGTCCTGTTCCCCACATCACTGTAGATCCCCAGCTTCAACCCTTTGGAATGGACCTGAGCTCAGCGGGCAGAGGAGAAGCCGTTGAGTCACGAAGTTCCCGCACAGCCTCTCCCTCCCCGCTCCCCGCACTCACGTAGTCCGCCAGTGCGCGGATACCGCCGGGGAAGCGCCGGGGATCCGCCCGCAGCCGGCCTCGTTCATCCCGCGTTGGCGCCATCCAGCAGTCGTCGATGCAGACAAACTCGTAGCCCGCTTCCTTCCAGCCATCCGCGACCATCACGTCGGCCATCTCGGTGAACAGCCGCTCGCTGGGGCCGGGGAGCAACGCGGGGGGGGGGACGCTGCAGCTCGGGCCGCAGCCCCGCAACGCAACGCCCCGCTCCCAGCACCGGGACCCCGGCTCCCCCTACCCCATCCCATCCCGGTACCTGACGCAGCTGTCCGGCTCAGCAGCGCAGTCGGTGCCGCAGAGGAAGCGCTCCCAGTGCAGCCAGCCCATGGGCGGCGTCCGCGCCACGCCGTTATCCAACGCCACAACCGCCGCCGCCGCCACAGCGGCCACCAAGGCCCAGCGCACCGCCGCCGCCATGACACCCGCCGGCCTCAGAGTCACGTGAGACGGGAGGTCGATCACGTGGCGGGGCGATCACGTGCCCCTGCGCATGTGATTCAGCCGCGGAGTCGCGGCCTGCTCCTCCGCCGCCGTGGGGAGGCGCCGTTCCGGCCCCGTGCCGTGTAGGTGCAGTCCGGCCGCGCCGTCCCCACGCGCTGCTTTCCATCCCAATGCTTGCAGCCCACCGGCACCCACAGAGTGCCCCACAGCACCGCGCGCAGGGCGCAGAGCTCAGGGCTCCGTGTACTGGGCTCGGGGCCAGCTCCGAGCTGCGGGTGTGTGGTGGGGGGACGGGGCCTGGCAGAGCCGGGCCCTGTCCTTGCACAGATCGCGGTGTTGCGGTGAGGCCCTCATCCTGCTCGCAGCCAGCCGGAGCTCCGTGCCCTGAGAGACGAACCCCAGCAGGGCCGGCCCGGCGGGCTGTGAGGTGACGATCTCTGCAAGCTCTGTTGTCACGCAGCCCCCGGAGCGGCCTCCTCGCTAGGTGTCCTCCGATCTCCGCTCTGGTGCGCCCAGGGAACAAAAGACCTTCAGAGACCGCGGTCAGATAACGGCACTTTGTTTGGGTGCGGGGTCCTCCCCCTGCCCTGGGGGGCTGCAGGGCACGGCTTCTCTGAGTGGGACAAAACACACCACAGAACTTCATGGCTTTGTTTTTCTTATGCCAAGCCACAGTCCGGAGCTGGGCTGCTTTCCATATTCCCGGGGCTGCGGGGCACTACAGATCTGACCCTTGCTTGCTGCCAAACCCCAGCACTCCCTTGCTCGTCCCTTCTATTTGGGGACCATCCTTGCAGCTCTGCTGCGCAGGTGTTGCTGTTCCCCAGCCCCATCCCTGAGGGTTGAGGATCATTAAATTCTTTACTATGAGAATGGTGAAGTGCTGGAACAGCTGCTCAGAGAGGTTGTGGATCCCTGTCCCTGGTGGAGTTAAAAGCCAGGATGAATGGGGCCTGGGGCAGCCTGGTCTACTGTCAGATACAGAGGTTGGTGGCCCTGCCTGTGGCAGGAGGTTGGAGATTCATGATCCTTGAGGTCCATTCTAACCCAGGCTGTTCTGTGATTCTCTGAATAAAAGCACAGAGCAGGGCCTTTACCCCCTAGCACCCATGGGTGCGCAGCAGCAGGAGGCAAGTTGCATGCATCTGCAGCTGCTGGGCTGTAAGTGCTGTGCTGGCAGGCGCTCAGAGAGCCGCCAGTGCTGATTATTCTGATTTTACTTTCCAGGAGTCACATTACCCCAACGTAACTCCATTAGCTTCCATTTACACCGGCAATTAACTCCGCCGCCGCTGCTGGTCGTGTGCCCACTGCTGCTTCCCACAGCAACTGGGACATGTCCTGAAAGTGCAGCATCACACAGGAGAAGGAAAATTGGCTCCATCTGAAATCCGTGGGCTTTGCCAGAGGGTGGCTGCTACCCATGCTGCACCCCCAGCCTGGGCATGGAAACTCGCCGGGACCACGGACTGGAGGGGCTTCCAGCTCCAGTGTGGCTGCTGGGAGCTCTGGTAGGGGCTGGGTGCTGCTGCTGCTGGCCCCTAAAAGGTGCCCAGATATGCTTGTAGGGCTGTGGGGCAGCAGTGCTCCCCTAAGAGTCTCCCACCACGGTGCCTGAGTGAGGACTCTCTCTGCTTGGCTGCAGCTAGAGCATGCAATTACTGCAGGTTGTCTTATGTTGGTTTTTCACAGTTCACTTTCTAAAATTCTTCCTTTTTCCTTTCTTTTTGGGAAGTGCCTGTTCCTACAATCAAGGTGCTTTGGGGCTGCCCCCCCGCTGTTCTCCCCTTTGAAGCCCCCAGGTACCCAGACCTGCTGCTGAGTAAAGGAGAGCAGCGAGGGCAGGAACACAGGAGCGCCGCAGGGTTTTGTTTCTCCCATCAAAAGAACAAGCCAAGCACTGAGCTGCAGGTCTCCGCTTTGCTTTCTCCCCTCTCTCTCACAAAAACCTCGCTGGGGCTCGACAGTGTGATGGAGCTGCGAGGTACAGGGCACCCAACAGAGCCGATCTGTGAAACTTGGCTGGGAGCACAGAGGGAGATTGATGTTTGCTTACGAGACTGGCCGTCAGCTGTGAGCTCTGCCTGCCTCCACGCCAGCTGGGGATGGGAGCGCTGGCCCAGGGTGGCACCGCAGGGTTGGCGTAAGCGCCCAGGACAGCTGGCAGCTCTCTGAGGCTGGCGCCTGCCCAGCAAGCCAAGGGAAGGATGGGACATTCAGTGTGTGTAGGTGTCCAAGCTCCACCGTGGGGCTGGAGCCCCACCCAGCTCCACGTCTGTCCTTCCTTGGGTCCTGTCCCCAAGGCAAAACCCTGTCGGATAAATGGAGACAACAAGGTCTGGGCATAATCTCGGGGCTCCCATTACCGCAAGGCTGGTGCACCCACATCCTTCCTGCAGACACGGGGTTCTGGGCAGAGAGAAACCCCCAACACGCCGCTGAAAATCCCAGACAGACTTTATTTGTGTAGGAAATCAATGCTTTTTAAAATCCCACCTTTGCTGGAGGTTTGGTCGGCCACCGTGTGCTTGCAGGTGCCAGCACCTCTCTGTTTGGGTCTGTGGGTGGGCAGTGGAGACCTGTGTGTCCAAATGGGCTTCCCCAAAAAAACTAATCTCTCAAGGCTGTTCCTGGGACAGTACAGTGGCAGTGGCAATGGGATGGAACCATCTTCACCCATCCTGGTGGAGCCCTGGTGTCTCCTCTGGATGCTTTTTCTCTTGGGGATCATGGGGATGCTTGCCTCATCTGTGAAATGAATGCGTGTGGCTCAGCAGGAGCTGAGAAAGTGGGTGCTGGGGGCTCCTGGTTACTGAAGAGAGGGAGAGGGCAATTCCTGCTTGAGGAACAGGGAGGGAAGCTGGGGCTGAGGGTGGGATATCTGCCCGGACTGCGCTGCCCTTTGTGTCCCTTGCCATGGTGCCTGGCACTTTGCTGTGCCATGGTGTTCCCAAGGCTGCTGAGAAAAGGGGCAAATCCCATCTCCATCCTGCCCACAGAACTTGTGGGGCTGCAGCAAAGTACCCCGTCAAAGATATGTGCCCCACCTGGGGCTTGCTGTGAGTGGGGGAAAGGAGAGCATCAACACATTTCTCTCTGTAGGACCTACGTCAGCATCACCTACTGCTTTTATTTCCTGCTAAGCATGGAGGATATCCAGGTCTGGAGGTCTGGAAGCCTTGCTGAGTTTTTAAATCGAGGGTTCGGATGCTCTCCTCTCTGGTGGAAGAGCAGATGGCGTGAGCCCACCCAGGGACAGCCTGGGGCTGAGGGAGAAGTCAGGGGATGGGGTCAGCAAGGCTGGGGCTGCCCACCATCTCCCACCACAGAGCTGTGGGCTGTGCAGGGGGAGAGGAGCACAGCCCCTCGCCCAGCTCACTGCTGTCTGTGGCTCGGTGACACAGCAGTCTGACACCCGCTCACAGCCTCCAGGCACATGGCAGCATCCAGCCAAGAGGTCCTTGGGCCTTTTGGGGGCCTCAGGGCACCGGGTGGATGTCCTCTGAGCGCAGCACTTTGTAGACAACCCAATAGAAGATATTGAAGACCAGGAAGGTGAAGGGGAAGACGGCTCGGGAGATGGTGTCGATGCGCTTGGCACGGTCGACGTAACGCCTGCGCAGGGTCTCCCCTTCCCGCAGCAGTGCACTGGCTGGGGGGGGGCTGTAGATTCCAGGACCCTCCCCAGCCCCATCCTTTGCCTGCAGGCAGTGGCCCAGCCCGTAGCCTCGGAAGTAGAAGCGGCTCTCACGGATGAGCTCTTCCTCCTAGAGAGGGAAAGTGCTGTCAGCCGGGCACCCTGCAGGGCACAGGGCTGTGCTGCATGCTCCGTGTGTGTGCCAGCCGTGGCTGTCTGCTTGGGTGGGTGCCAGTGCAAGGTTTGGTGCTTTTCCTGCACATCTGAGGCATGCAGGCAGAAGCCCGGAGGAGCACAGTCTGAGGTACGAGGGTGTCCATTGAGCACCTGCCTGCCAACACATCGTGCTCTAAACTGCCCCCAGTGAATCTGTGGGCAGCCTCAGAATCCTCAGCATCCACTTGGGTGCCTGGTGTGGGGCAAGTGGGCCCATGGGGGTGAGGGGTGCATGGGAGGATGCAGATCGGATGGGGGTGCGCGGCATACAGAGGTGTATGGCACACAAGAGTGCAGAGCACATAGGGGTACATATGGGGCACAGAAGGGTGCTGCAAGCACTGGGGTGCTGGGGGTGCAGGCACTGCTGCAGCAGCTGCTTGCTGAAGGGTGGAGGTGTGCTGGTGAACAGTTTGCTGGGGCAGAACCGTGCAGGGATGCAGGAGCCTCGCTGCCATCAGGGACCCCCAGTCCTCTCAAATGCCAGGGCTGCTGCCTCCCCACAAGTCGGCAGTGCCTGCGCTCCTCCCCACCAACAGCTGTGCTTCATTAGTGAGCTGTTTCATTAGGGAGTCACATTGGCCCAGCTCATTTACACTCTATGTGTGTCCATGGTGTCCCCACTTGGAGCTGAGGACATCCCCTTCATTCCATGCCCACAAGCAGTGTGGGTTTCGGGTCTCCATGCCTTCTCCAAGCAGTGCTGCCCACTGAGGTACACAGGCAAAGAGCTGCATCCTGCCCTGCATGGGCACCCAGCAGCCGGGGGCTCTCATGCAGAGAGCTGGGGATCTTTATTTAACTCAGCACTCTGCCGGATAAGCAAGATTTCCCAGCGGGGAGAAGCAGCAGAGGCTGAAATTGCTGAAATGCGCTCTCGTGTGCCGCTGAGCTGCTCTGCCCTGCTGCAGAGTGCTCACTGAGGGCACAGCAGGATGGGGGCTCAGAGAGAGCTGCAGCAGCCCCAGAAATGCACAGTTGGGATGTCCTCGTCCCCCAGCATCTCCGCCCAAACTGGGCAGCCTGCCCTGTGCCACCACTCCCTGCCATGTCTCCTCCCCACGTCTCCAGCTGCCAAGTGCCCGTGCATGCTGAGCCACTGCAGGGAGAGGAGATCACTGCGCTGGCTGATCTGGGTAGGCAGAGCCCCCACCCTGCTCCAGGTGCTGTCAGGGAGCTGAGGAGCTCATCACCCCAGCATGGTTCACTCCACTGCAAAGGGGGCGGCCTTTGGCCCCATTCTACAGCAGGGGAAACCGAGGCACAGAGCAGGGTGTCTCCAAGGAGCCAGTGAATTATACCTCTGGTCCCCACGGCCTCGTGCCCCGTGCACATCCCTGCCCTGCTCCTTCCTGCACCCTCACTTGTGGGAAGGGCTCCTGGGTGCTCCTTTTGGGGAAAAGGGGGGTGCAGGGGTGCACTGCCGGAGGGGTGTGCTTTACCCTGGAGCTGGAGAGCTGCGAGAGCGTCGCGTAGGTGTGCTCGCCGCTGTGCAGGCTGCTCGACTGCCCCAGGGACTCCAGGCTGGCCGTCCCGCTGCTCAGGCCCTTTTGGCACCAAACAGAAACAGGACAGCACGTGACCGACGGCTCTGCCCCTGCTGTGGGCAGAGAGCAGCCGTGGGGGGAGAGCAGCCCCTCCGGCAGCACAGCCTCTGAGCCAGGGGGCACTGGGAGCCTGGGGGACACATCCACAGGGCTTTCGCATGGAGGTCTGCATCTAACAGTGTCACCATATGGCAGGGCAGGCACCAGCTGCTTTCCCTGAGCATCACATGGGAAAGGAAAAGAAACCCTTGTTTCTTCTCCTGCCTTTTTAGAGCGGAGCGTCTCCCAGGGCAGGAGGAGAATGGCACCCATCTGGGGCCGTGCACCACATCTACTCCCTGTCCAGAGCACAGTGCCTCCCTGCAGCCAGTGCCAGGCTGTCCCCCCACATTGGGACGGGCAATGTCAGCCTGCTCCAGGGGACAGGAGTTGGACTCAGTGATCCTTATGGGTCCCATCCAATTCAGGCTATTCTATGGTTCTGTGACCGCGCGGCTCAGCTCTGGGCATCCCGCAGGGCAGGGAGATGCTCTGGGCTCCCTGTGCTGCCCGGCAGGCAGAAGAACTGCAATGTCCACAGCTCCCCAAGGTGCCATAGGAGACAGCCCTGCAGCCCCGGGGCTCCCCCTATCATCTTAGGGACACGTGGTGACAGCAGCAGCCGCAGGCACTCACCATCCTCTGCCTGCGCTGCCGCCGCCGCAGGCGCATGAACTCCTTGTGCTGCCGAGAGACGAAGTTGACGGCGGCGTATTCCAGCAGAGCAGCAAAGACAAAGAGCAGACAGACGGCCATCCAGATGTCAATGGCCTTCACGTAGGAGACCTGCGAGGGGAGAGGGATCAGAGCTGTGGGGCTGCGCCCCTCCCCACAGTCACAGCTCTCAGAGGTTCTCCCCAGAGCTGCGCAGTTCAAAGCTCCAGGAAGCCAAGTTCTCCCGAGGAGAATCCCTGGTGCCAGATGGCTTTGAGTCGTGGTTCCACTGGAAAAAAAAACAACAGGATAATACCCTGTAATTGTGCCATCTCTGTTGTTGGTCCATGGATATTGGGAAATACTGGATGTTAGGAAATGTGTGGACTCTGAAAGAATGGTGATCTAGGCTGCCCGGGGAGGTGGTGGGGTCACCATCCCTGGAGGCATTCAAAACTGTGGAGATGCAGCACTGAGGGACATGGTCAGTGGGCATGGTGGGGGGCGCTTGGGGATCCTAGAGGTCTTTTCTAGCCCCCCAGGGCCAGCATTGTGCCCACAGCACTGACCTTGGGCAGAGAGGCACGGGAGCCGGCGCTCTGAGTAGTCATGGTGAGCACAGTGGTGATGCCCAAGCCCACCCGCGCTGGTGCTGCATCCATGTTGATCCAGAAGGACACCCAGGAGAGGATGACGATGAGCAGGCTGGGGATGTACATCTGGATCAGGTAATAGCCCATCTGCCTCTCCAAGTGGAACTTCACCTCAATGCAGGTGAACTTGCCTGCAAGAAAAATCCAGCCTTGTGTGGGTGAGGGGGTCTGTGCCACGCCGAGGGGCAGTCAGGGGTTTCTGGGGATCTCACCTGTGTTGTAGTACTTGGTGCAGTAGCCCAGGTCCTTCTCATCCCTGAGGATGAACTGCGGCAGCGTCAGGCCCTCTGCCACCTGCACAGCCTCCTGCTCCTCCAGCCACTCAAAGATGAGGTCGTTCATGGTGTAGCCAACTGGAAAGGTGACAGATGGAGCCACGGGTCAGTAGGGATATGAGCCCATTCATCCCCACCCCAAATGACCTCCCCTTTCCTGCTTAGCTCCCCCAGAAACACAGAGATGCTAGCTTTTGGGATGGGACGGCATGTGATGGGATGCCACGGGATGAAGCAAGGCTCGAACGTCCCCAGGCACTCACAGCTCTCCAGCTGCATCGTGCACGTCTGGATGTCCATGGGGAAGTTCTTGAGATCCATGGGGCAGGAAAGGATCAGCGTCAGCCTGCAGGAGGCAGACAAAAGAGAGACTGGCTGAAAGATGCCCAACGGGACCAAGAGACAAGCCCTGCGCCAAAGGAGAAAGGCTCAGCACCTGATGCTGTAAAGCACGTTGCCGTTCTTGAAGATGCGCAGCAGTTTGTTGTCGGTGGTGACCTCGTGGAAGTTGGCCCCTTTCTCATTGGCAAAGAACAAATCTGGCTTCCAGATGGAGTCAAGCATGGAGGGGTCGAGGTCGAGCGAGTCGTCGGGGTACTCGCGGTAAGCCAGCCGGGGGTCGTTCCACTGCTGCCGCAGGAAGACGTTCACACGGTAATCCTGGGCAGAGGGCACTCGTCAGTGGGAGCCCCACAGGGCTGGGGGAAGGAGGAGGTTGATGGTCTGAAGGCTTTGCAGCAGCACAAATAGGCTTTATAGGGCTTCCCCAGTGCAGATCCTCGTGCATTTGAGGATGTTGGGGGCAGCAGCCTGTCACAGCGCTCCGGCTCCAGGGGGATCTGTGGGAGCCCTGAGCACCGACACAGCCCTGGCACTGACACACACACACACACACACACACACACACACCCCAGGCAGCATCCCCTGCAGAGGAGCCTACTGCCAAACCCTCACCATGGTCGTCTCGGTGACGGAGCCGAAGCTGTTGATGAAGATGTTGCACGTCACGTTGACGGGTGGACCTGGAAAACAAGCAGGCAGTGTGCAGCTCTCACTGCTGACCAGCACCATGTTGGTGTGGGCACAGACCCTGCACCCTATGTGTGCTGAGCAGCCCTGTGCCCACTATGGTCACCCCATGGTGCATGGAGGGGAACCCCCCACCCCTCCCAAACTGCCGTGGGAAAGCAGGCACAGACAGCACGGGTACAACTGAGGAGAGAGGAATGTGGGTCAGGGTCCTTTCCCTACATCCGTCCCCTGGGTTTGGGCAGCCCTATGTGTGGGGCACTGCCAGCCCCAGTAGCTTCACACCCTCCCCTTACCTTTGAAGTTGGGTCGGATCCGGGCATCGTACCCTGACGTTCGTCCCATGAGCTTGTCCAGGAAATCAGAGGGTGACATGGGCTGGGGTGCGCTGCGGGAGTGGGATTTGATCTCCTCCCTCCCTGAGACCAGCCTGCAGACAGAGGGGGGGGGGGGCTCAGCTGGCTGCCAGCACCATAAAGCTCCAGGCACAGCCCTGCAGCCCAGGGGAGGATGTGCACCAGCCCCCAGCACGCCTCATACCCAAGGCTGGGAAGTGCTTGGGGTCAGGTGTCCCACAGCGAGGACAGAACACAGTGGTGATGGCCCCAAGCTGTGGACACTGGGCTGTCCCTGTGGGTAAATCACCAGCCCCTGCCTGGACCTGTGGGGGCTGTGTGGATACAGCACCTCCCGAGCGCTGGCTGCCCCTGGGCAGTGAGGAGGTGACCAGGAGCACAAAGGGGATGGTGGCACCGCGGAGTGACACAGCCAGAGAGGATCAGCACAGCCACGGCGAGGAGCTGACATGAGCTCTCCCACGCAGCACTCCTGGTGATGATGGAGACTTATTTAAACTGACCTTGGAGGGAATATTTTCGTGAACGCATCTCCGCCTGCCAGTTCCTCTCCTTCTGTCAGTTTATAATGATCATTTCAAGGAACAATGCGAGAGACATTCGCTCACCACATTGCCAGGCATGCGGCTGTGATGGAGAGGAACGAGCTGGAGATCTCTGGACACAAAGGGAGCTTTGAGCATGCTGCTGGTGCGTCCTGCTCCCGTTTGAGGCTGCAGACCCCATTGCCACAAGCAAGGGAGGGTGCTGGGGATGGAGCTGGGGCTCTCCTGGAGCTGTGGGCAGGCTGAACACTGTGCTCCTACCTCTGCTCAGAGGAGTGGGAGTCCTCCGTGGAAGAATCTCAGCTCCTCTGAGTAGCAGAGCTGGGGGCAAAGGCTCTGCTGCAAGCTGAGCTGCATGTCCCTGGGCACAGCTCATGGGGCACAGCCTCCCCGAGGGCCCTGGTGCTCAGCACAGCACCCCATGCATTCAGGGAACAGTAGGGCTGGAAAACACTCCTATCTGCCTGAGAGCACCATCCCAGTGGAAGCGATTTCCGCTGGTGAAATGATGACATTTGGATGCAATTTTCCCCCTCCTCACCACAAAGGCTGCATCCTTCCCACGCTGCCTCAGATACATCAGGACAGGGAGCCCCAGGGGCACTGCAGCCCCCCCACCTGTCCCCTGCATCCTACCTTGTCCCAGTGGCATCTGGGGATGGTAGAGAGGGACGAAGGGACTCGGGGGCTTCAGGTCCTCCACCTAAAACGTTCCATGGGACCTGGGACTGTCCTGAGCACCCCTCCCCCCCATCAAAAATAATAATAATAATAATAACAATAATAATAATCCCTGATCTGGAAGAAGGTCTGGGCACCTCAGGGGCGTTGCTGTGATGGAGAAAGAGCTGCGTGGGCCATCGCCTGGTGGTCCCTAAGGCTCCTCGGTGAGGGCTGTGCCCCGGGTTGGGGGCTGCAGGGGGCGGGCGGCACCGCGCAGGCAAAGTACCTGGGGGTGCGGGGTCCCGGAGAAGGTCCTGCTGCCGGGGATGGGGGTAAGGATGAATATGGGGGAGGAGGGGGTTCCACAAGAAGGGTCCGGGTTGCTCGGGGACGTCTGGATCGCGGGTGGGGGTCCGGTCGCAGGACTGGCAGAGGACGTTTTGGTCCCGTTTGGGAGAATCCAAGTCCCGGCGGGGAAACCAGGCTCCCAGAGCGAGGGGGGAGGGGTTGAAGGGGGTCCCGGAGGAGGGAGAGCACCGCGCTTTGCGCTCACCTGAGCGGGCCACGCCGGGGCGGGAGGCAGCCGAGGAGGAGAAGGAGGAAGGCTCGGGCGCCGGTCCGGAGCGCGCCCATCCCGCCGCAGCCAGCAGCCCCGCCGCCCCGGGCGCACGGGCATGACCCGGCCGGTGGCGGCGGTTCCCCCGCACCCGCTCCCGCCGCACCGGGACCGCCGCCGCCCCTCGGCCGGCCCCTCTCCTCATAGTCCGGGCGAGCGGGAGCCCGCCGACAGGCTGCGGGCACTGGGAGCCGGGCGGAGCTTCAGGCCGGTGCGGCGGGGAGGAGGCGGGCACGGTGCGGGGAGACGCCCGCCCCCGGCACCCACCGACCCGGGGGGCTCCGCCGTGCGCGGTGCCGGGCGGCCGTCGGGGCGCTTCCCGCGAGGGCGCGTCCTCCGCTGGGACTCTGCGTGGCGGGGTGCGGGGCTCGGGGGTTTATGGGGTTGCACAGGGAAAGGGATGCGCACGGAGCGGGGGGGGGACACGCATACCGGACCGGATGCGTTCAGTTTCACGACCAAGGCTGATGGATGAGATGGAAAGGGGATGTGCGGAGGGTGGGGGTGCGCTGGAGGGTCCACCTGCAGCAGCACGGAGCGCGGGATCCTTCCTTCTGCTTGGCTGTGGGGTCTGGGGCAGTTCTGCAGGTGTAGGGACCCCGGGGAAGGGCATAGCATGGCTGCGAGCTTGCTTTTCTCAGCTGCACATCATATGCAAACTCCTGAAATTGCCCTCATTAGGGGCAGGTGAGCTCCTTAGCACAGCCTTCTGCCCCCCCGTTAGGGGAAAAACAAATGGGGGCAGCCAGGAGCCACGAGGATGGGAGTGCAGCTGTGGGCTGAGTGGGCTGACATCAACACCTGGGGTGGCTGAGCCGCACGCACTGCCTGTGGGGGCCTTCTGTGATGAATGTGTGAGGAAGGAGACAGCATTAATAAAGAGAGAAGTGCAGAATAAGTGATTCCTGGTGGATACATCGCTCAGGTTTTCGTTCACCTTACCGCACCTGGCTCGTGTCGTTTATTTGTACTAATTGCATTTGAGTCATGGCTGGGAGCAGCCATGGCTGCAGGGTCCCACACACGGTGCTGTATGGCAAGAAGGGGGCTGCGTGCCCCCCCCCCCCCGTGTCCCCCTCACCCCACAGAGGGGCCGTGCATTTCAGCAGCGCTCTGCTGGACCCAGCGCTGCCTTCTCCTGCCCGCCCCGCCGGCTTTGATGGAGCAGGGAAACGTGACAGCCAGCAGAGCGGTGCCCAGGAGGGTCCTCCGTGTCAGCCGAGGGCCGGGGGGGGGGCACGCCGCTGCGGAGCGGTGTGCGGGAGGAGCAGCCCCGCTGGCGCGGAGCTGGCAGAAGTCTCCTCCGATTACTGTTGCCATTAACGTTGATGGGGCCGTGAGGTTGTGATTGGGATCTGGAGCCCGGGGCACACGGCGAGCACTGAGCGGCAGCTCCATCGCAGCGGTGAGCTGAGCTGACACCGGCGGGGGGAGGGGGGCAGCTCTGTGCTCAGCCCACGGGGAAAGTGGGGCATTGAGGGAGGTTTTCCTGCGAGAAGCAGAGCTGCTGGGTGCCGCCACCCCCGGGGGCACACGTCCATCCTCAGCATCCCCAGCGTCCCTGTCCTGTTCCCATCAACCTGGCAGTGCCAGGCCCTGCCAACAGCGGCGGAGGTTGGGGCTGCTCAGCCAACATGATTTCTTCTCCATTCCCTTCTCCATCTCCAAGACACATCAAACCGTTCCCCTGGGGATCTCCTGCCTGGGTCCAGAGCCCTGGGGAGGGGTGTGCAAACCCACCCACCTGTCCTGAGCTCTCTCTGCTGCTCAGCCCCCACAGTGCCACAGCAGTGGATCTAATCCTGCCTGATCCATGCTGTCATTCTTTCCCAGCCAGCACAACTCCAAGAGGCTAAGGCCTCAAAAACGTTCTTTTTATCCCTTTTTTTCTTTCCCTGCAAAAACCCTCTATCTATTTGGTACTGGGAATGGGAGGGTGGTTGGACTAGATGATCTTGCAGGTCGTTTCCAACCTTCTGATTCTATGATTCTATGATTCTATGAAGGCTGATGGATCCATCTCGGGATGAACAATTGCTGGAGGATCAGTTTGGTGGCACGGAGGGGAGATGAGGGAGGGCAGCAGGCAGCTCCCTGAGCCTCTGGTGCAGCATCGCGGCTGGTTTGGTGCTGCAGGAGCACATGGAGCCTGGGGATGTGCAGCCCAAGCCCTGCTGCCAGCACTGGGCTTCTCCCTTCTGCTGTCAGGGTGGCAATGTCTTGCAGAGGGACAGATGCCCCTAGGCTGGACACAGGCATTGCTCTCACTGTGCAAACATTTGGAGGCAGCTAATGGGGCGTGAGATTAATGTCACAGAAGATATGCTGCTGAGCGTGGCCCCATCCCCGTGTGTCCCTGTGTGTCCCCACGGGCTGCGGCTGCATCCCTCAGAGCTTCTCCTCCAGGGCTGCTGAGTGTGGGGCTGCAGAGCTGCTCAGAAATACCTGAATTTGGCCATTTTCACTCATTTTCTAAGGGGAAAACGGTAACGCAACACGAGCTCTGCCTTTGGGAATTTTGTTTTCCAACCTGAACGCACTTGAACCAACTCTAACTTTGAAACAGCCAGAAAGGACATTTTCAGCGGGCTCCTGGAGCCAAATCCTTTCATCTTTATGGGGAACGTGATGCACTCCAGGCCCCCTCAGCTGCAGGGTGCAAGGTGGGCTCGGGAGGAAGGGCTCAGCAGTGCTGTTAGGACACAGCGCCGGGCAGGGCGGCCCCGGAGGAGACTGCAAGGTGAAGTGGGCCGGCGGTCCGAACTCCAACCAATGTCACTCTCCAGTTCCGTGGCGCTTTTCCAAGCTAAAAATACCCCTTGTGCCGGCACGGCGCGGGGCGTGCGCTGCATGCGCTGCTGCAGAGGGACCCGCCAAGGGCACGGGGCTGTGCGTCCCACCACCCAGCTGCATGGCACCGGGAGGAACACGGCTGGGGTCTCCTTTTGCCTCTCATCTGCCAGCCGTCAGATTGCAGGGCCGCGGCTCCATCTGCCTCCGCTGTGCTCCTTCATCCTGCGCTGCGCCGTGCTGGGGTCTGCATCCGCAATGGGATTTTCCAGGTTGTGCCATAGGGGTTCGGTCCCCAATGGCAGGGAAGGAGCTGCAGGCGGAGGGATGACCCCCGTAACCTTGGCAAAGCAGGCACGCTGAAAGGGGAGATTTAATTTAGATAAGTGTCCAACAACACTCTCAGGGCCGGGAGCAAAGCCTGGCACTGGTGCCAAACCCCTCAGCGGGGTGACCCACCAGGGTGACCCAGCCCTGCCTCATGTTCCTGTCTCTTCTCCTTGTCTGTGGGTCACCCTTTTGCTGCTTTGTCCCCAGAATTGCTCAGTACCAGGGCTGGGTCCCTCCTGCTGCTGGAGAGGATGCTGAGGGGAGGATGCTTAGAGCAGGTCAGGCTGCTCTCACCAGGAACATTCCCATCTCTGCTCCCAGCAGTGATGCTGCCTGCTGAGGCCCTGCTGCTCCCATCACCCACGGCATTCCCAGATGCTTTGGGGAAGATCTGCTGGATTTTGACACCACGAAGCTCCAGCCCACACCTCCCCCTTCCCTGCAGCCTGTGAAAGAGTTGCTGCGCAGCACAGAGGGTGTTGTACCCACAAAGGCATCACAGGAGATGGGGATGGGGTCCCCGAGGTCCCCTTCCCACTTTGGGGTTCCCATCCCCCTGCATCCCATGCACGGTTGCCATGCCGACAAGCATCCCATGCTGTTGGATGCTGTCGGAGCTCCGTCGGCTTTTCTCGCCTCCACATCTCCGTGCCCCCAGCCCCAGCGGTCTCCGAGGACGGAGCAGAAGGAGCTCAGCGGGAGCAGCGTTAACTGCAGGCTGCCCGGCTCGCCCTAATTGTGAAGGAGTTTTGTGATTTGCTCAAGACCCCCCCGGAGGGCCGAGCTTGGAAAACGAAGTGTTACACATCTGTGGCATCAGGCGGTGAGTGAAGGAATGAGAAATCAGCCTCCCTCCCTCTTAGCCCTCCTCCCCCCCCCCTCGCCTGGCACAGCCGCTGCTGGGGAGATGAAGGATTTGTTTAATTAGACTGCAAATCCTCCTGCTGCAGCACAGATGCAAAAGGCAGTGGCTGTATCCCAGGGCTTCACGGTCGTGGGGCTGCCATCATCGTCTCGCAGAGCCAACGGTGTCATGGCGTGGGCTGAGGGGACGGGGTGGTGGCTGCAGGGGATGGGGCTTCCCTGCCCTAAGGGCTTCCCTGCCCTATGCCCTGCTATGGGGTCCTGAGGTTCCCACTGCACATCCTAGCAATGCCATCTCTTCTCTGTCCCCTGTCCCGTCCCTGTGCTGGCCTTGGCCGTGGTCCCTGCACAGCTGCTGGCACAGAGGGGTTGCACCACGGCACCACCTCAGCACATTAATAACTGGAGCAGCAAACGCATCCCTGTCCCAGAGCCACCCCAGCAAGGAGACCGCATGGCATCAGGCTGCTGTAGCCACGTGGAGGGGAGTGGAGGGTGAGGGAGGGGGTGGGACTGCTGCTCTCTGCCCCAAAACCAAAGGGATTGGTATGGAGGGTAGGTGGGGAATGCAGAACCAGCATGGGATCTGGGGGAGAAGTGTGGGGCAGGGACAGCCAGGGGGCCCACGGAGCCAAGCGGCTTCACTCTGTGCAGGCACTGCCAGGCACCGTTTGTCTTTGCATCCCCAGGTTTTCTGCAAGGTAAATGAGCACAGCTCCAAAAGATGACCCCACGGAGGGCAGACCAGAGGAATGAGCCACCAGGGGAGAGAGGCAGCCGCTGCTCTCCTCAGCAAAGGAGAAAGTCAGGAGATGCGAAAGGCAAAGCTGCTGGGAAGGAGCATCACCACTCCACTGAGCCTCCATGGGGCTGGGGAGCACCGCCTGCCCTTCAGCTCTCCTCCCTGTCCCCCAAAGGCCTCCAACAGCTTTGCTTTTCTTTTCCTTGATTTTATCTCTATTAGCACGTTTTGCAGCCTCCCACCCTCCCCTATGGGAAAGGGGGTTCACCCCACCGATGGGTGGATGGGGG